AACTTCATTTAATGTGTAGATAGCTTGTGGGCAGAGGCAGACTGACCACTTTGCACTTCAGTCTTGGATCGAGGGCCCGTGCAGTCTGGGGCCCTGTTGCAGAGGAAGTTATGGGGCAGTTGGGGAGATCAGCAGATCTCTAGAAACTGGCCCTGTATTAGCGGAACTACTGGTGGTGCTGGTTGTGTGGGGCCTACATGCTTTTAAAGCCCATCAATGGCCCATGAACTTTGAGCCACTTAATGGGTACTGCTGAACAGGGGCCCTTTAAGAGCATGACCATGCCCCTGTAGTATCGGTCGGCTGGGAGGAAGTGACAACCAATCACTTCCTCCCAGCTTTATGAGAGAGCATATCAGTGTGTGTATCTGTGACACTTCATCTGTGATTGAAGTGCCCTGACATACACACCCACAGACATATGCACACCCTTACACAAAGATTCACATACTCATACATAGATGCACACCTTGACGCAAATATGCACATACTCACCCTGACACATAGATACACACACTGACATATACACACACAGATGCACACCCTGACACAAAGATGCACACACACATACACACTGGCTCTGCAGCCTGAAAGACAACTCAATAGAAATTTCTGAAGGACATTGGGCACATGCAAAATCTGTTGATACAGGGCAGATTTCAAACCAATCTAGATGCTTACAAGTAAGCTCCTCCAAACAGCTACCAATAAGGAGGGTGGGTCCTGACGAACTGAATCCTATTACAGAATTGAAGAGACACTCATTTTATCCCCCTTACATTTCTTACCACCCTCCATTCCAGAAAAATCTTAGTGTTTCTAAACTACTAAAAATATTTTTTTCCCCACATAAATTCTGGTGGGGTGCTGCCAACTGAGTTTATCAAAATCCCTTTTTGGAGGGGGCAGAGCCTGACCTCCAAATGGGATAGATGCATGGTGCCCAAGCTCCTGCAACTGGGGCAGGTTTGGGGTTCTACTCCTCTGCCAACAAGCTACCATCCTCATTAAATGGCACTAATCGCATTTGGGACTCCTAGAGGAACAGATAGAGGCGTCGATAGAGCCCATATCTTACTGAAGGTCAGAGGTAGGGTTGCGGCCTACTGCAGATGAAGCCGGGGAGAAGCAGCTGATCTCCTCACTCTTATGAATCTGGCTGGTCACGCTGCACTCCTACCATCTGGACTGGCAGGGATTATTCCAGTCCCCACTGGATTTAAGTGGATCACATCTACTGTCCCTACCTTGTATAGCCAGACGCACTCGACTACCATATATCTACATGCAGAACTAAGATGGCGGACGCACAAGCCTCCCATGCAGAGTTACCTCAAAGTGCCAGACATACTCTGCATAAATGTGTGGAGCAGTCCTTCCAACGACTTGATGATTGTTTGCTTGATTCTGGGCCAGTCTGGACAGCCGAAAGATACCTGTGCAGAGTCAGTTCCAGGAGGGTGTTCTGAGGGGCGAGAGCTGGAGGGTTAATGGGCCTCCTTCAGGCTTGAATCCCACCTGACCATCAACCCCACTTGAGACTAGCCTGCCTAGGGCCATCAGGGTTTTATCCCAGAAGCATTTTCCACGCAGACAGGGGGTTACCCACCGCAGGCTTGAAGATGCTAGCCCTCATGTCAGTCTGAGGCTGGCAGGATGACCTATCTCCCTCCCACCGTATCACAGCATTTACTGACCTATATGCCTCTTGCACAAACATCCCAAGCTTGGGCATCGGAGGAGTCTGGACTCATGGACCTGTTAGGTGCACCCCACCACATGCCATTACTTGAGTACAGAGCCTAGACATGTTCCAGTGGTCTTTCCAGTGGTGTATTCTGGTTTTGTATCTACCGCGAGGCAAACAAGGCATTTGCCTTGGGCAGCAATTTCCAGGGGGCGGCAAAAAACACCGCTCCAAATGCCCAGGCAAATACCTTGTCTGGTTTTATGGGAGCCCAAGAGCTGGCCAGCTGACCACGTTTGGGCTCCCCCGGGGCAGGCGGCAAGTTGTTTCCCGGGCAGGTGGCGAGGGAGTACTTTCCCCTGAGCTCTCTCTGCTCAGCTCCCTCGTGCGACCCACAGTAATACCAGGATCTGGAATATTATATATAGATATGATGTCATATTGTGCTGAGTAGAGAGAGCTTAGGTGAAAGTGCTCCCTCGCTGAAAACTTAGAGCACCCGGCTGACTGCATACCCGGTCGCCTTCCTGCCCATCAGCCCCACTGGACCCCAGGTGAAAAATCCACCCATCTATCCAAAAAGTAGGGAGGCTGGGTGGATTTAATAATAATAAAAAAAAATTATAATAATTGCGAGTGTTTGGGGGAAATGTGTGTGTTTGTCTGTGAATGTGAGGAATTGAGTGAGTGTGTGTCAGTGAATGTGAGTGAGTGTGTGTCAGTAAATGTGATTGAGTGAGTGTGTGTCAGTGAATGTGAGTGATTGTCAGTGAATGTGAGTGTGTGTCAGTGAGTGTGTGTGTCAGTGAATGTGAGTGAGTGTGTATGTCAGTGAATTTGAATGAGTGTGTGTCTGTCAGTATGTGTGTGTGTTTCAGTGAATGTGTGTGTGTGTCTGTCTGTCTGTGAGTGTCTGTGAGTGTGTGTGTCCAGTGAATGTGTGTATCTGAATGATTGTGCGTGCCTGTCAGTAAGTGTATGCATCTGTCAGTGAGTGTATGAATCTGTCATTGAGTGTATGCGTCTGTCACCGTGTGTCTAAATGATTGTATGTGTGTCAGATTGTGTCAAATCAGTGAGTGTGTGTATGTATGTCAGTGTATCTGAGAGTGTGTGCCGGTCCGTGAGTGTGTGTCTGTCAGTCAAAATGTGTGTAAGTTACCAGGAAGAGGTGTGGCCTTAACAGGAAGTGGTGGGTACATTTAAATTAGGGGGTGCCTGAGATCTGTCATGCCTAGGGCAGCACCATTTTAAAATACACCACTGCCTTCAAGCCAGGGTTCTATCCAAGAACATGTATTTTCATTTAAACAAACTGATTTTAGTTTTAATAGTAACATTTTGTGTAGAAATGTATCAAGTCCCTCAACAAAATCTAAGTAGATCACATCAACTGGAACACCCCGATCTATATGACTACAATATTCTTTATTAGCGAAGGTGTGTCTAACCTGATAAAAAATGACAATAACAATAAAAAGGTTTTTCTTAAATCCTTTAAATCCTAATCTTTAAATAAATAAAACAGATGGGAAAATAAAACCTCTAACCCATTACTCATCTAAGAAATATATAAATGAAAAGAAAAAAACTATTACAAAAAATATAAATTACCCTGTGGGTAAATGTTTTTGTTCAGGCAACTTCATCCTCTGACTCCATTTACTTATATTTATTATGTTACCTGTAATGGATCACCTGGCACTCGACTGGGTACCTCCGTTACTGGATGCTTCTAGCGCTCCCAGAGGTCTCCAAGCGCTCCGCCAGACACCACAACCACCGCAGACCCCACGAACCGCCTCTGCTTGGTTGGGGTCTCGTCGTCTTCTTCCCACCCTGGACCTCCGACATGGCTCCAGCTTCCAGTGGGTGAACCTCTCTTCCAAGAGAGCGAAGCAGGAACAAGCTCTTACAAGTGATTAGCCAAGGGAGCATGCAGAGCATAGCAATCCCTTGTAGTGATATAGCAATTCCCCCAATAAGAGACAGGACTCTAGACTGAGGGTCAAGAAGATCTGAAGGTTTAATGGCAGGTACTCTCTTTTTATGCAGTTCTCCCATGCAAGGGAGACACCCACAGACAATTATGCATTAGCCAATCAAACAATGGTTACAACCCACATATTCCCTCCCCTCTGCTTGGGAGATAATTGAGTTACTTACTGTATCTACTCAATTATCTCCAAGCTACAAAATCATACTTTTTATACATTTTTATAACTATGATTTTACATCCAATATGAATAAAACTTATATTTTTATAATCAGCATAATTTGGAGACAAACATATCCAAAAGTCACTTGAATCGGTTAAGTGGTTCAGGAGATAGGTGGAAGTCCTATTTTGACCGACCGCATGCACGCTCATTTCCCATAGAAAAATAACTAAGTCCCATTCAAATGCACGAACAGGGCGCCGTTCGTGCAAATAGCCCAGTATAACTGTGCGTTCGAATCGTCGAACGCACTTTGATTTTAGTCGAAGCGTCGAAGTTCCAGAGAAGGTAAGGGTCAGCGGTTCCATGAATTTGACGGCACACACCGCTGACCACGTTCAACTAAATAAAGATAGCTGCCGCCACGTGTTCGACTATATGAACGGCGGGCAGCCAGCGGTCGGCAATTAACTGTGGGTAAACAACCAGCCTGGGAGGTAAACTGCCGGCACACTTCCACGTGCGGGTGGTCCGCCTGTTCGGTAATTGGTTTGGTAAACCCCAATTACCGAACCATATGAGAAAAGGACATTCACAAGGTATTTTAAAGGCCTGGGGACACAGTCTTAAAGGGGCATTGTTCCCAAAAGTCTCAATATGTCCATATACTGTGATTAAAGGGCCACACTAGTCCAATAAAAGTCCATAAGCCCAAATAATGTTTTTAAAGGGCCATACACCCCAGGGCCATAGTCATGAGACAGGGGGCTGGCAAGCAGGCTTCTCCATAAGCCAGGGGAACAGAGCAGTTTGGCACATAGAAAGCCAGTGACAAATGGCAGTTTGGCACATTACCCATTTAAACATTTCATTTCATGAAATAAATAATATCTTGGAACCATTACCTAAATATATTTATGATTTGCTTCAGAGTTTAAAGGGATCATGGAGTTTATTTAACAAGTGAATCATTGTCAGAACAAATCCTCTTATCTGCCACAGTTTTATTGATCTTTTCATCCCAGTTTACCCCATGTGTGTGTGACTTTTTCATCATAACCTTTTGAAGCAAGTGGTTACCTGATTAAGTCTCTGAAAGATTCAATACTGTTTTTATGGTTTTTTTTTCACACAATGAAAACTTGGAATATTTTGTTTATTACTTTTTCTTGGATGATATATGGACAGTATGCTACTAACGACACTACGTGTGAAACGACTTGTCTCAGTGGACCACTTGGTTGTTCTGGAAGAGTAGCAATCAATCCTTATTGTTCCTGTAGACAATGTGCAAAGTCAGTTTGGTAACCCTGTGGAGGAAAAAAACTGAGAACTTGGGTACTGTGAGAAAGAGCAGAAAGGTGCAAATATCACTGGAGTGGGTCTTGTTGACATTCCAAGGATTAGAATTTTAAAAAGTAAGTACTCTTACATACGTATACATCAGGGCTTAAACTGACAGTTACTAGTGAGTGCTATGGAAAATAAAGAGACCATAATTTTTCTATTTAAAGAAAGTGGTGCCATGTTTGAGTATAAATTATGAGGAAATAGTGGTAAAATAGTGGTTAAAAATAACTTTTATTATATGTAATTAAAAATAGTTCCCGAATATAGGGATACTAAGATAATAATGCACAGTTGTACTTATAGACAAATAAAAAAATAGAGAAAAGAAAAGAAAATCATAATACTAAATAATAAAAAAAATAGTAATAAGAGTAGAATAAATAATAGTAGTAACTAGTATAAAATGATATAATCTGGTTCTTCCAGGAAGGGACACTACATATATAGGAGAAAGTCATAAGAATAAACAAGCTATCCAAAAAGTATCCGATTATCAATAATAGGATAACAATGTTACCAATTCACCACTAGATGTCACTCAATAGCCGTGTAAAGTCCTGTAGGGAATTGCTACTTAGTCGCCGTATTTCTACAGTGTGAATCTAGGAATCACATAAAGATGTAAACCCGGAGAAACAGGGAAGGTGCATGTGCCAGTTGGTCCCTGTTATAGTCTAAAAGTTAGAAAAATAACTAGTCCCAATGTATTTATCAGCTGGCACATGTTCCCTCCATGCTTTGAGCCCAATAATCGAGGAGTGTAAGGTTAGTTTAAATTAATAACCCTATGCCCAGCCAGATCAAGAGGGATTGAGAAAACCCTAATGGAGAAAGCCAGAATAAAGTATATGTATCCCCAATTCAGGAGGCTAACAGTATCAAAAGTTGTCAGATGTTAAAGTAAAGTCTAAGAACTTTCTGGTTCGGGAGATGCACCAGAATGCACCTGACGCAGGTTTCACCCAGCATCTGTTGCTGGGATCATTAGGAGTGCTGATGTTTGAGCATTAACATAAAAAGTCAATGTGCCAATTCAATTTACAAGTTGATAATCTAAGCTTGGTCGTGGTATTTTGTAGTATAAATGTAATGACCCAGTGTGTCCTGTGTGCCATCTAACATCACCACATTTTTATTCTACATGTTTCTCTTGTGAATATTTCCACCCAATAAGTAACTTTGCAGGATAAATTTTTTAGCAGTAGTGGTCATCAAAGGAAAAAAAGTTTAGCAGAACATCGGGGGATATTAATTCACAAATATATGTAATGACAAAGTTAGCCATTATTGCTATAAACCAGGTGTCACGGCAAGGGTGCATAATTTGTTATTGCACTATGGAATATTATCCTTGAATGTAATTTGTGTAGTGCATGCCTGGTAGAGATGAAATATTGTCAATGTCAAAAGGGGTTAATTTGATTGTATGAAAGGTCAGATAACAGAAGGGGTAAGGTAAATTGCATAGGAATGTGAAAAGGGTTTTACCATATGGATGGATCCCTTGAATTAATTAAAGGCTCTGCAAGGTGTGAGATTCTACATTTGAAAAGCCTCAATGTCTGGCTTTAGGCATGTGGCAGGTACTTCTTAATTCATGAGTCAATCTCTTTCATATGTTAATGGCCATTAGCCTTGTAATGCTATCCAGTATCATATCCAAAGTAAAGCTATCCAGTATCATATTCAAAGGAAAAAAAAACATTGCTATTTACAAACAGAATAATAATTAAGCCTAATTTTTGTTATATTTGGAAAGTGACAAGCGCCATCTTCTAAACAGGCCCAAACATAAGTGGCATAACTTAACCATTGTCACGGTTCTCACCTGATAGACAGACGGCAAGACGTGGTCGCTCTTGGAGTTCCCAACAGGGGACTTGAACCGGGGATCTTCTCAGTCCTGGTCCTGCTTTCTACCTCTGAGCCACAGCAGCTATTTACAGTGAAGATTGATTCCAATCCTGTTCATCCTGACATGGCTACTACTCTGGGGGCTGCACCTTGACTTGGCTGTGTTTCACCTGACTCTGATCAGTCATCAGCAGGGTATTTAAACCCAGCCTCGCCCTGTGCTCAGTGTCAAGTCTTTGTTCCTGTTTCATCGCTTCGCATTATTGATCCCGGCTTCCTGACTCGTTTATTCTGACTTCTGGCATCCCTTGACTTCGGCTACTCCTCGTTGTTCCTGTCCTCTGGCATCCTTTGACCTCGGCTATCCCTCGACCATCCTGTTGGTTCAGTCCTTGCCTGTCCTGCGTATTGGTACTGCATCCTGCACAGCCCCCGTGCACAGACCCACAGGCCAGGTGAATTCTTACCTGACCACCTCGGCCTGTGGCTATCTGCAAGGGTGAGCATCATATCTGCGCTACAGACTCCCAACTCAGGTAAGACCCTGACATAAGGACTTGACCATTATGGAGTCCGCAGAGATGTGCTCACCCTCGACCCAGCGTGTGTCCAGCCTGGCCCAGACTGTTTCGGAGCTGCAGCAAGAAATTTTATTCCTTAAAGGCGCAGTACATCCAGCCCCGGAACCAGCTTTTCCTGAACCGTTTGTCATCATGCCCGACCGATTTGATGGTAGCCGCACATCCTTTCAGTCTTTCAAGATGGATTGTGAGGTGTTGTTTTCTTTAAAGCCTCGAACATATGCCACAGAATTCATTAGGGTCAGAGCGGCTATCAACCTGTTGTCTGGACGCATCAAAGTTTGGGCTCACCAAATGTTGCAGACGAAGAGTCCTGTCCTGGTCAGCTGGGAATCCTTTAGTACTGCTATGGACTCACAATGTAAGACCACTGTGGCCAAGTCAGCTCCACGTACTAAAAAATCTCAGATTCTTCCTAACCAAGAAACCGAGTACCACCACTACGCCCCAGAGATGCCTCCTTATGTTCCAGCTCCCAGGAAAACTCCAGAGGTATCCGGTGTTCCACTTGACCCTGTGGAACCTATGCAATTAGGACTCGTCCACTGCAAAGTGACACCTAAGGAAAAAGACCGAAGGAGAAGCTATGGCCTATGTTATTACTGTGGAGAAAAAGGGCACTTCATCACGCTTTGTCCTGTTCGCCCTCCTAGACCTCCAGCTCTCCGACTTGGTACTAGTTTCCTTCGCCCTGTGTACACCGCATACCAGCCTAAAAAGCCAAATAGAAGCCGTTGTGCTTGCACATGCTTGGCTTCCGCGAGAAAACCTCCATCCCCTGCTCCAGAGCCTCCTGCATCTACTCCCGAAGTTGCTTCCTGTGATACCACCACTACTTCCTGCCCGCCCGAAGAGGTTTTACCTGTGGATTGTGCCGTTGCTTCTAATGGCACTATAGTCCGTAAAGAAGACCTTGATATGTTCGAAAAAGCATTGTTAGCTGCGAACACTGCTCCTGCCAAAGTTTTGGAAGTGCTTGCCACCTGTACCCGGAACCTAAAAGACCTGGACAATTCTCCAGCCGTACCAGAAGCTGGTACTGCGGACTCCCAAGCTGTAAAGGGAATCCTTGCTGGGGAGTTTGACTATGGGGACTCACTGGATTCAGATAGTGACCCTGGAGAGGTGTACTATGCTGACAATGAACCCATTCACGCCCGGAGGTCGTTTTTAAAGGGGGGGGTACTGTCACGGTTCTCACCTGATAGACAGACGGCAAGACGTGGTCGCTCTTGGAGTTCCCAACAGGGGACTTGAACCGGGGATCTTCTCAGTCCTGGTCCTGCTTTCTACCTCTGAGCCACAGCAGCTATTTACAGTGAAGACTGATTCCAATCCTGTTCATCCTGACATGGCTACTACTCTGGGGGCTGCACCTTGACTTGGCTGTGTTTCACCTGACTCTGATCAGTCATCAGCAGGGTATTTAAACCCAGCCTCGCCCTGTGCTCAGTGTCAAGTCTTTGATCCTGTTTGTTCCAGTGTTCCTGTTTCATCGCTTCGCATTATTGACCCCGGCTTCCTGACTCGTTTATTCTGACTTCTGGCATCCCTTGACTTCGGCTACTCCTCGTTGTTCCTGTCCTCTGGCATCCTTTGACCTCGGCTATCCCTCGACCATCCTGCTGGTTCAGTCCTTGCCTGTCCTGCGTATTGGTACTGCATCCTGCACAGCCCCCGTGCACAGACCCACAGGCCAGGTGAATTCTTACCTGACCACCTCGGCCTGTGGCTATCTGCAAGGGTGAGCATCATATCTGCGCTACAGACTCCCAACTCAGGTAAGACCCTGACAACCATCGGAGAAGGGATTGTGATGTCCGCGATATTGGGTCGCAAGTAAGGAGGATGACTTTTTTGAATGCACTGTGATGATTTTTGAATGCACTGTGACTATTTTTTGCTCATAATAAAGATTCCTTTATTAAGTTCTGCCTTTGTCTGATAAATAATCACGTTACCTGAAGAGATTAATTTTTGAAATTCCTCAAATATTGTTACATTTGGTGGGTTTTTATTATTTTTTTTACCTGGGGGACCAAGGCACCCTATTTATAAATTGTCTTGGTGGTGGCAGCGTTAAAATAGTAATATTTATATTATTATGCTCAAATGATAAAGTAAAGACAGATAAGTCAGTGGGACCTGATGGAATCCACCCAAAGTTATTAAAAAAGTTTAGCGTTTTACTAGCAAAATCATTAACAGATTTATTTAACCAATCGTTGTTAACAGGAGTAGTCCCAGAAGATTGGAAATTAGCGAATGTTGTGCCCATTCACAAGAAAGGTAGTAGGGATGAGTCGGGCAACTACAGGCCAGTAAGCCTTACTTACGGTAGTGGGCAAAGTAATGGAAACCATGTTAAAGGATAGGATTGTTGAACATATAAAATCATATGGATTTCAAGATCAGAGACAACATGGGTTTACTTCAGGGAGATCATGCCAAACTAATCTTATTGATTGTATTCGAAGCATGGCCTTGTCACTAGTGGGGTACCTCAGGGAACTGTACTTGGACCCATTCTCTTCAATATTTTTTTTAGTGATATTGCAGAAGGTCTTTATGGTAAGGTATGTCTTTTTGCTGATGATACTAAGATATGTAACAGGGTTGATGTTCCAGGAGGGATAAGCCAAATGGCAAATGATTTAGGTAAACTAGAAGAATGGTCAGAGTTGTGGCAACTGACATTTAATGTGGATAAGTGCAAGATAATGCATCTTGGACGAAAAAACCCAAGGGCAGAGTTCAGAATATTTGATAGAGTCCTAACCTCAACATCTGAGGAAAGGTATTTAGGTGTAATTATTTCTGATTACTTAAAGGTAGGCAGACAATGTAATAGAGCAGCAGGAAATGCTAGCAGAATGCTTGGTTGTATAGGGAGAGGTATAAAAGAGGGAAGTGTTCATGCCATTGTACAGAACACTGGTGAGACCTCACTTGGAGTATTGTACGCAGACCGTATCTCCAGAAGGATATTGATACTTTAGAGAGAGTTCAGAGAAGGGCTACTAAACTTGTTCATGGATTGCAGGATAAAACTTACCAGCAAAGGTTAAAGGATCTTAACATGTATAGCTTGGAGGAAAGATGAGGCAGGGGGGATATGATAGAAACATTTAAATACATAAAGGCAATCAACACAGTAAAGGAGGAGACTATATTTAAAAGAAGAAAAACTACCACAAGAAGAGGACATAGTCTTAAATTAGAGGGGCAAAGGTTTAAAAATAATATCAGGAAGTATTACTTTACTGAGAGGGTAGTGGATGCATGTAATAGCCTTCCAGCTGAAGTGGTAGAGGGTAACACAGTGAATGAGTTAAAGCATGCGTGGGATAGGCATAAGGATATTCTAGCAATAAGATAAGGCCAGGGACTAATGAAAGTATTTAGAAAATTGGGCAGACTAGATAGGCCGAATGGTTCTTATCTGCTGTCACATTCTATGTTTCTATGTTTTTATCAACAGCAAAAACATATGTGAGTAAGACTGAACTTGATGGATGCAAGACTCTTTTCAGCTATGTAAATATGTAACTATGTAAGTATGTAAAAGTTCCATTACCTGATTATGCAGTTTTTTTTACAGTTTATTTCTGCTCCCCATGACTCAGTATCTAGCCTGCTCAGTGCATCCACGTGAGAGCTAATAAACTCATTGACTATTTATACACAGACACTAATTGCAACTTAAAAAGCCACAGGTGTGGGAAATTAACCTTTAATTGCCATATTTTTTTTTACAATCTCTATTTATTTTTTCAAACAGTGGGTCAATAGCATTAGAGTTGAGCATAAAACAGTGGAACACAAGGTCAAGTTTTGGAGTTCAAGACTCCTCTTAACTATATTATACAAACTACAGCTTCTAAGTTGTTATTGTATTGTAACTTAGAGTGATAAACGATGCTATAACTAGCCATAATCTAGGCAATTAACCCTATATCAGGCGGGCCGCCTTGAGTACCATTCTACTTGGAAATATCCCTCTGCTAGCGTCTGGGTCTCAAGTCATGTAAACGTGGACGAGAGTATCACTCTCCCCAGCCAGCCATTTCCCGAGGGAGTCTCCACTGCTAGAGTATTCGGTTTTGCGTGGATCCTCAGTCATGGCTGGTTGGCTGAGTCCACTGTCCCGAGCCTACCGTCCAGCTCCTATGAAACATGTCAGTGGCGTCTGTCAGATACATGTTCGTCGGCGGGACATGTATAGTATTAAATATATAATGTTTCTGTGTTTAATTGAATTCCCAGGGTTTCATTATATTAGATAATCATTTTAAAAAACAGATGTACATTGTAGTCTGATTTTGTCTTAATTTATTTTTTGTTTAATTATCCATCAACCATGATTGATTACAGACTTATGAACATGGACACAGTGTATTTGGAGATTTAATAGCATTTCTTTTAAAGGTGTTCCAAAAATCTCATTGCATACTTGTTTTTATCATAAAAAAACAGAGAGTGATCACATCCACTTTCCAGTGGATGTGATCACATTTGCTTCAAATGCTGGGGTTGTGGGGACAAAAACAGTAAAATGACATATGTCACTTCACTTCAGTATTTAATTCCATGGTCATTCAAAGTCTGACAAATAAGATATAAAGATGAATAGTCACATGGCAAACAAAATGCATTGCAGAAATAGTTGCAACTTCATTGCAACTTCCTATATGCTAAGGGAACTTACTCCCATGACATTGGACAATGTTATTTAGGTAAGTTCTTCCTATGAAGAGGAATATATACATTTCCCCACAATGTGATATAAGGAAGCATGTTAGTGTTCTCTTTAGCCAAGAGGATTAGGAGATTACTATTCAAAACATTCCTTCTTCTTGCAAATGCAACTCATTTGTGATGCTTATAAGCACATTATGAGTGTGAAGACAGGAAAAGTTGACTTGACTCATGACTCTAGGACACTGCAGTAGTCATATCACACTGAAATGTATTAGATATGTGCACAATTTTCATTTCTTTTATCATTTCTATTATCAAATCAATTAGAAATAGAAAGAATATTGGGTATAAAATTCTAAATTTAGTTGCAAAGGTTTTTTTCTGTATCTAGTTATTCAAAATAGCCAGGTGATATAAAAGTATGCCGTATCACCTAAACTTTAAAGAATATAATATTGCCAATGTTGGAATCTTTACACTAATTAACAACTTGGAGTTTATCCAGAACCCAGAAATATATTACCAGAAATCAGTTTAAAATAATAATGTATGTAAACTGCGATTGTTTTAATTTAATTTAATTTTGTATCACAATGATCAAACTCTTAGTGACAATTACTGTTGAGAACTACAAGGCTAAATAGAGCAAGTGATGTCAGTAGTATTGTCCTGAATTTAGGGTCCTGTCTTGCACTCTTGTATTGGTTACTCAGTGTCCCATCAATGGTTTTTGTTACCTGCAAAGTTCAGTTTATAATCCATAGTAAGCAACCTTATATAAAGGTTTTGAGGGGTAAGAAGGTAAGAAGGTGAAAGGGAGTTTTAGAGTTATGTGCCTATAGACGGCTAAAATATATATCTGTCTCGTCAAGTGCGGTGAGCATTTCCAATAAATATTGCCACTTACCTGGCTAGAAGTGCATCCTACAATGGAATTTTTCAATGAAATATGTACCTGATTGAGAAGTGGTTCCAGTTCGTAGCTATTTGAGGCAATTTTGAGTGGTCTTGCTCAAAACAAAGGCATGTGTACTTTACAAACTACCTCTGATTTCCTTTTCCTCTGAAATGTGATGAATTGTCATTGAAATGAATGAAACTGAAATTATAAATTTTTTTCTGTATAAATTAAATCCTTAGTGATTAAAGTTGATTGAGACTTTGACAACTTGCAATCTGAAAACCTAGTAATAAAATGTAACTGTAAATGTAAATATTATTATTATGATAAAGGTATACTTACGAACGTCCCAAGCCTGTCTGCTATAGCCAAGGATATGACATTATAGATGTCCAGAGTATATGTGAAACAAACGGACTGTGTGGACGTAAAAATCGAAACAAATCCAATACAGCACTAGGTAAGACTACACAATGTGGATCATAATAATGTAGGCACTATTTATCCTGCAGGTGTTAGAAGTTATGCTGCTTTAGGCAAAATTATATTTGTTGTTCATGGCCCTTCCCTCTCTCTATGAGCTCTCTATTTCACTCTCTAAATACATTTTTATTTCCTCTCTTTACACCATAATCTCATTTTCTTTCTTTCTACCAGTTTTGCTTATCCCCTCATTATAATTCCAGTAACGGCGGATGGGGGCACTAAATGATAATGGGAGTCAACTTCATTCCTCACCCATTAGCACCGGGTGTGGACCCTAAATTATAATGGGGGTCCCTTCCAGATCCCACCTGTTGTCTGCAAGTGTGGGCCCTAAGTAATTAGAGGGGGGAGACCATTGTCCCTCCCTGCCCCCACCCATTTTTAGCAGGTAAGGTCCCTACATAATAATTGGGGTTTCCCAGCCATCAGGGAAGGGTGGGGGGATCTAAATTATAATGGTGGTTACAACCATCCCCCACCCATTGGTGGCGGGTGAGGGCCCTAAGTAATAAAGTGGAGGACCTATTGTCCCCCCACCTCCATCCATTAGTGGCAGGTAGGGCCCTATGTGATAATGGGGATTCCCCACAAAGCCCCCACCAATTAGCGGTGGGTGGGGGCCCTAAATGATTACAGGTGGAACCTATAGTCACCCGCAGACCCCAACCAATACCGGCAGGTGGGGGCTAATTGTAAAAATAACCACCCCCAAGTGACTAGACATCCACAAGCCACTAGTTACCCTCCAGTGGGCTTGGGGACTCCTAGTAACTTGCGGGGTTCATTATTTTTACAATTAGCTCCCACCTGCCGCTCTTGTGTGGGGTCTGCGAGGGACTATAGGTTCCACCCATAATCATTTAGGACATAGATCTGGTAATAAGGCAGAAAAGAAAGATGAAATGGGGGAAATTCAGACAAAAGCAAATGCCCAAGTCTGCAACTTGGCATGCGCGGCAATGTCATAGCACGACCTAGTGTGGGCAGTTGAAGAACCTGAGGGACATGACATACAGGAACATAAAGATGGCAGCGCCTAGGACATAGATCCAAAGAAGAAATATAGCAGAAAAAAAGGTGAAATGGGGGACCTAGTGGTATCTGGGGGTGACTAGGACAATCAAATGCAGAGTAGTCAGGAGGGGGACGGGTTAAAAAAAAAAACGGATTCGGCCATGGCAGTGCTGCTTTAATTTCTTGACTTTGGCAGATTTTTTAATCAAATTTCATCTAGATTTAATGCCAGCTGAAATTCAAGCAGATGAACTCTTAAATAGGTTGGCTAATTGAAATAAAAAGGTAATTGATTGACCTAATGTAACGACTAACCCTGCTTGTAAATAAAAAACAAACAAATACATAAATACATAAGTAAAAAGTCTATGGAGTCAATATGACCCACATATTAGTACAAGGGAGATTTAATACCGTATGCTTACAATGAAACACTGGAGGAGGCATCCAAGTGTCACTTCAGAAGTGGGTAAGGTCTAGTTATAAAAAATTCCTACAGGTGGAGGAGACCTGTGCAGATCCCTCATGTATATAACAGCTTATCGATTTGTTTAGTTATTGGAAGCAGGCAGTGGCTGTCACTATTGACATGCCTTCAGCCACGGCATTGCAGGGGGGGGGGGGGCATGAGGGAGGAAGTAAACTTCACCTATTTTCCTGTCAGATGTCAGTGCAGCCAGCAGGTAAATAGTAAATAAGCATTTATCAACAACGCATACAGTGCTATTCGCTAAAGTGAGAATGTAAATCAAACTTTCAAAATTAAAGTCAAAATAGACAAACTGGAAAAATTCTCCAAATTAACTGGGCTTTCGGTTTGGCTACTCTGGCCTTAAATCTGAAATCACTTTTAACCCCTTAAGGACACAACTTCAGAAATAAAAGGGAATCATGATGGAATATTTCCGTCATGTGTCCTTAATGGGTTAAATCTCACTTTAGTAAATAATCCTGCTTGTTGTCAAAACAGATGAGGCCATTTAAAGGCATCATGTGGCCAAAACATGGAATTAAATCACCTCATCTGATATGTTTAGTACAAAGAATGGGTATTGGTTTCGATCTTCTATCTTCTGAAAAGCCTTAAAAACCAATGATTTAGATAAGAAGCAATAAATGGCTTATCTGGAGCTGACAGTGCTGATATACATGATCGGGTCTAATTAAATTAAGACCTATATTTAATGCAGTATCTTTTCCACATATCTTTTATTCCAAAACTTTCTCCCAGCTACCTTTTCACTGAATTGAAATTACATTTTCAACATTTTCTATTAGTTTAAATGAAACTGTTATCTGTAAATATGTCAACAGCCCACTGTATGTATCCCATCTAATCTATTTATTGGGCTACTGTATTCACCAATCAAATATATCAAGGGAAATGTATATTTGTCTCCATTTCATCCAAAACTAAAATGTGTTTAAAAAAAAAAAAAAGATTTTATTGAGAATAGTGTACATGACGTAGGTACATGCATAGTTAATAAACAAATGCACAACATAATGTTTCAGTAAAGTTTGTCAAGATAGTATAGAAATATTATTGGCCACATTGTCTTTTATCATTATGTAAAATAAAAATTATGAAACAGAAAAAAACTGCAAACTCACTAGGAAGCAAGTCTCAAAACCAGAATGTTTAATAATTTAGTAATTTTTATTCTCTAAACAGAGAAATCAGAGTTTAACCTAATCCCATCATAGTTATTTAATATATAGTATTACATCAATCGGCCAATTACTGCTCCTTCTGTATAACTCAAAAAACAGGCATATGACATCATGTATCAACATTATATGTACATGGGGGCGTGGTTTGGGCTCTGACCAAGATGGCAGCATAAACTGAGAGTTCCTCTCCACAGGTCCCTTCTTAGCGCCATATCATAAGTTACAGTCAGCAAATGGGCCGCACACGACAACCAGAACCCCCCATACCCTGAGGGGCTCAAAACCGGGCCATCAGCTAGGCCCCATGGATGGATTTCTGCACTCTCAACCTGGCGCAAGTGGAGAGGCCAAGAGCCCCAAGATTGCGCCGACTTCTCCATCCTCCCAGACGGGCTAGAAAAATACCTCGCTGGAGCAGATTGGGGAGGACCTGCAGACTATGGCAGCCTTAATGACTACTAAAACAAAACTAAAACTCGTTGTTTAGGTGATATACCCCACCTCCCAAACAACTAAGTGTGAGTGCAGCGCTACCAAAATTGTATAGATGACTTACCCCTCAAAATTTTAAGGGTTTGTTTCATTTACATAAAATAAAAACAAAATAATGCAAAATAGCGTGATATTGTTTGCAATGTCTCAATAAATTTAACATTTTCCGATACAGTAACACATTTGTTAGAGCCTTTTGATAGTATAGGCTCTAAACAAAACAGTCTCTGTGCCTTTAATTAGGTGGCAATATCTACCTTCTTCTTAAACTCAATGGTTAGGAGATTTTCTTCATATCAGATGTTTTTATGAAACAGAAAACAAACAGCGATCTGGGTGCAATCAATATATATATATATAAGGTATGTCCAATATATAGAATTGCTCACCATTTTTGGAGCCTATTATACAATGGGCTCCAAACTTTAAGCCTAGTGCCAGATTTCAGGGTGACACCCCCTTATGAGAACAAGGAAATGGTGTATGCTTCCAGAAATGGACTGGGAAAATTACTTCAGATTAATGAGGGAATTTATTTTAATATATAAAAACAACTAGTGAGAATTCCCAAAAACAATAAAACAAATGCTAAAAAATCTGAAGAGTCAAATCCTTGTGTCTCATCCTACTTGTAACCAAGACGCATTTCGCTGACAGGGCTTCCTCAATTGGTGTGTGCATACTTCCCGGTTTGTCTTTTTGAAGGCCATGGAACTCCTTCCCCGTCAATCGTTTGCTGGCTTCTCAGGTGTTTTTGAATTGGAGGGCTGTCCAGGGGATGTTGTTGCTTCCACAGAATAGACAAAAGTGATGTGTAGTGCATCATATTGCAATGGCACTTCCGTGTTGTCGGTCGTGACTGCAAATCACACTTTCAGTTTCGATCAGTTTTTCACAATCTTTGTTAAAGTCCCATATTCTCAGTGGGGATATATCGGTAAGTGGGGATACAAAACATAATTTTAGTAAGAAATCTGATCAGAGGCATATATTCATACTATACATAGATATTGTTGTTTGGGAGGTGGGGTATATCACCTAAACAACGAATTTTCGTTTTGTTTTTGTTTCTGTGATTTGTGGATTTTTTTGGGACATTCACAGATTGTTATAGCAGCTTTAAATATATTTCATTTTTATTTCTATCTATTAAGGGCCTTATTTCACATACTAAGTTTGTACCTGTCCATGGCTACTAAGGCTGACTTGCAGAGCCTAACTAACACCATTCAGGAAGCCCTACAGGCGGAGATGGTGAGCATCCGGATGGAGATCACTACTCAAGCAGGCTGAATCCAGGTACTGGAGTGCTTGGCTGAGGCCCAGTCCACCAGGCTTGTGGCAACGGACATGGCTGTGTCTCAGCAGGGCAAGATGATCCTGGCCATGAGGAGGAACTTGAACGATGTTACCAATAGGGGCCACAGATGCAATATCTGGATCCGAGGAATATCCAGAGGCTGTAGGAGAAAAAAAATGTGGAGGAAATACTCTGTGGACTGTTCTGGCTACTTCTGCTGGATGAAGCCCCCCAGCGCTTTGAATATGAGAGGGTTCATAGAGCTCTGACACCATAATCCCTGGAAGAGGGGCAGAGAGACCTGATATGCTGCCTGAATTCCTTCCCTGTTAAGGAGACCATCATGCGGAAAGACCAAGACAGAACAAAGTGGAACTACCGTGGCGCTCAAGTATCTTTGTACAACGATTTATCCCCTATCACTCTTGAAGCCCGGCGAGCACTCCAGTCTGTGACATCGCCACACTGTGGGACCGCAACATCATATACAAATGGGGGTTCCCCTTTGCACTACTGGCCCGCCACTAGAATGGATGGTCCTCTATTTGTTGGCCCGAAGAGGTACCGCAATACATGGAGGAGCTGTGCCTACTGCCTGTCACTGTCACCAACTGGGTCATAGGCCCCTTGAGGTTGAGGCCGCGGCCACAGTGGGTCCCTCAATGAAGCGGAGGTAGGTCCCCACCAGGCCCTCCGCCCGATGGTGCACGGACCCTGCAGCCCTGGAAGAGTAAGTGCCAACCCTGGTTCCTCCAGATTTGGCGGAATCACTGCATATGGGGCTCTTAACTGTCCACATTGCCTAAAATTCACCGGTAGCTCGTACCGGGTCTGATTCACACATACCCTGTCACTGGTCACTGAGTCCCTAGCAGGACATTGTTGGTAGGGGGAGGGTGCAGTTGGGGGGGTTTGCCTATGTTTTTATTCATCATTCCCATTGGTGTTGGGTGGGGGTTCTTGAAAGGATAGTTGTATGACCGTAAAGAAATGGGACTATAGTGTCCGGCTATCACACATGGGTCACGGGTCCCTACCATGACAGGAACTCCGCAACTGGGTGCAGAGGTTTTGCAGTAAAATAAGCCTTGTTTTGGCGGCGACTTTTGGGAAATAGCGGGAGCCGGATGTGACCTCCCATGACGGGCATCCTGCCCTCTCATGTAACCGAACTGGTCCTGTTTGTTTAGTCGCAACTCACTGGGACCCTCTACATTTGGCTATAGATTCCGGACTTGGTTTTCCTGCTTGGTAATGTGTGCAGAAAAAAGAGAAAAAGAGGGGAAAAAAGCTTGTGAAAGAACATGATGGGAACAAGGGACGTCTTGGGAGGGGTGGCATATGTGTGGGTAGGACGCAGACTGACTGGTGGGGCTAACATATGGGTGGACACTCGCGGGATCCTGGTTGAAGGCAGCCTGTGGGGGGGAGGATAGTTTTCGTTGTGGTTATTTTGTTATTGCTGATATCTTCACTGTGAATGCACTTGATCAGTAAGTGGCGCTCCACAAGGTTGAAGGTATACACTGAAGGGGTATTCAGTGGAGCGGGTCTGTCATGACATTAATTGTTGTAATCCTCTTGGGCGGAGCCTGGGTTGTGTTTCTCAACCCACACTCATGCGTGTTCCTATACGGCGGGGTTCTGGGGGCACGTGCTTCCTTGTCTGGTTACCAGTGCGCTCCCCTAGCGACACTCACTGTAGCATGAGTCCCCTCACATGACATCTTGTGACCCATTGGGAGTGTCTCCTTTTGGTACTCTCACCTTTTAAACCTATACCCTGTTCTTCCTCACGCCTTTTCCCCCCTACCTATCTACTAAGGTGGATTCTTTCCTTCACCCTGCTCTTTTGAGCTGGGAGAGGGACGAAGCGGAGTGATAAAGTTGCCCTCTACCTGCAGTTTGCCAGTGCCAAACTACTTTTCTGGTCTGGTTGCTCTCACCTCTCTGTAACGGGGGGAAGGAGGGAAGGGGGGCGACTGGACGAAGGGGCCTCTATCTTTTGTATATACCTGCTCTCTTCATTATCTCCTACCCTCTTCACTGTTCTCTAATGTATCGTTTCCTCTCTTTTGGTCTACCCCAAGGGGTCAGGCTATCTCGGGGTTGCTGCCACTGGTCCCAGGGAAAGAAGGGAGCTGGTGAAGTGTTCTTTGCATGTGTTGGTCTGGGCTCGGGGGTTACTATGGCATGTCACCACACTCCCCTGTCTGTCCTCACCCTTAACTGTAAGGGCTTAAACATACCGGAGCACAGGACTCACTTGTTGAGAGAACTGAAGAAGAAACATGTATCGGTAGCTATGTTAAAGGAATCATTCATTTTGTGGCTTAGGTTTTTTATTTATATATGCAGTTTGTGTTATACTTGTTTTTTTTAATCTTATCTTGTATACTAATCACCTTCCCCTTTCTTTATTTCTTTTAATGTCCATAACTCTCACGATGTGCATATATGGACAATGAGTTTTTGACGATCAATAAAATGGCATCCCAAGTACTTCCATTTTCCCCAACGGATTTTATAAGAGGGTTGTATATTGTCCAATCAGGACATAACAAGGACTTATAAGAGGAATAAGGGGGTGTTCCCTCGCCATCGGTCGATCCACGTCACAAGGTGTAAAATACCTATGGATGTCGGAAGAAAGGAGATACGATCACATGGGTAGAGCTGGAGGAAATATGTCACAGGATGTGACGTATCGGTCAATACCGGAAGTACAGGTACAGTTGGAAAGCGGGAGGAAAAGATGCCAATGGACATATTGTGGAGAGTACTTCGGTTTAATAGGACATCACCATCTTGGGGATGGCGGAACACCATATTTGTGAATAGGAGTGTTCCATTTTAATTATGTACATGTGTAATTAACGTTATTTAATTTTTATGTATATGCTATATAAATGGCATCTGTATGCATTATCCATTATATTTTCACCTGAGGAAGACAAAGTTGTGGGTTGAAATGCATGTGCTTTTATTTATATTTTTATTTTGCTTGAATGTACTATTCGTACTAATGAATAGCTTATATTCACTTAGCACCTGGGAGTTCCTGTTATTCCTGTGATATAAACAGTTACCAACACTTGGAAATCTTATCCCTGAGAAAGCATCCTACACTTCTTAGAGGAGCTGATGTGCCTTATAAGTTCAGAGCCAACTTATGATAGGCTCTGAAAATTGTGAGTGAGCTTATTTTATATACACCAATTCTAACAATTTATACAGGCTATACTATGTACTGTTTTATTTCCTGTCTTATATAGGAATCAGTGTTATTCTATAAAGTAGTACATTTGACCAATTTACTGTTTTAAGGTAAATGGTCCTTTTTTATGTGTGCGCTGAACACCTTGTTTTTTCTTAATGTTAAAGGAAACGCATTTTATGTTAGGCGTGGCCCCTAAAGTTCTGAACAAATCCTACCCAGTCAATTAATTCTGCAATCACCCCTCGGCCCGTAAGGACATTGTTTCCATAGTAATTGCAGGCGACCTGTAGTTTCAGAAATTGGACCGTGTAAATGACCCGCATGAGCGCTTTCTCTTCTTGAAAGGCATTTTTGCCGACAAGCTGTACACATTCGCATCCCTATACGTCACCAACAGGAGACAGGCACAATTTCTCCGGGGAACGCTCAACAAGCTAAAGGACTTCTCAGAAAGTGCCCTGATTCTGGGAGGGGACTTTAATGCGCCCCTGGACCCATTGCTTGACTCATCATCAAAACATAGTCGCATCTCCCAACTGTGCATTTGCTCCATACGTAGATCGCTGGGAGACATGGGACTGGTGGACTATTGGAGGACCCTTAACCCTACTGTCAAAGACCTTTCACATTACTCCGCACTCCATAACCGATACTCCCGTATTGACTATCTCTTAATTAAACAGGAGGGCCTCTCTCGACTGTTAAAAGCTACAATTGAACCCGCCACATGGTCGGACCATGGTTTGGTCAGCAAAGAACTTGAGTCTCCTCTGCTTTGGCCCTCGGCCTCGACGTGGAGGTTCAACAAGGCCCGGGAGCATATCCCTCAAGCCTTAGACCTTTATTTCTGGGAAAATGGGACATCACCAATATCGATATGGGAGGCTCATAAAAGTGTTATCCATGGCACACTCATACACATCGCTTTGCATAAAAAGAAAATGGCTTTTCAGGAGATGGCAGACCTCTACAAATTGATTTTGAACTTGGAACTCCAACATAAATGGACACAACTGATGGATACCTACGGGGAGCTCATGCAGGCCAGACAACAACTGAAGGAACTCCTCATGCAACGCTCAAAGGGCTTCTTCTACTCTCATGTGAACAAGGGGGGCAAATTCCTGGCTCATCTTTTGAAAGGTAACACAGGTCTGTAAACTGCGCTTGTCCTCTGGGACTACATCCTCCTTCCCGAATGACATAGCAGAGGAATTTCGATGATTCTACCAATCCTGGCCTTGCCTTGCCCAGACTGAGCTCATGCACACCACCGAATATCTCCATACTAATGTCACAAAAATGGTGATCCCAGAATCCGCAGCTGTGCTGGACGCTCAGATAGGAGTAGAAGAACTTTTTGCGGCCTTGAAAAGTACCAAAACCGATGAATTCTCCACAGGCTACTATAAAAACTTCTCAACGGTGCTCCTTCCGTGGTTGAGGAAAGCAATCAACGCCATTGCAGAGGGAGGGAATTTCGAGGCGAAATCTTTGGCTGCGACCATAGAGGTCTTGCTCAAACCAGGGAAGGGCCCGGTGAACTGTGGTAGCTATCACCCGATTTCACTGTTGAATGTGGCCACTAAATTGTTCACCAAGGTCCTGGCAACTAGACTACAATCCGTTTTACCATCTCTGATTCACACATACCAGACAGGATTAATTCCTGGGTGAGAGGCACGGGATAGCATGTTAAAGCTCTTCTCCATCCAACATCACATGAGGAAGATGAAGAAATGGCTCCTATTGCTATCAACTAATGCAAAGAAGGCGTTTGAGCGCATTAGTTGGTTGTATATGGTAGCCACACTAAGGAAGATGGGACTGGGAGACTGGTTACTCACCTGGATTCTGTGTTAAATAACAAGCCACGTGCCACGGTGAGAGTCAATGGGGCTCTGGTGGCAGACTTCAGAATCAGAAATGGAACGAGGCAGGGTTGCCCTCTTTCCCCACTGTTGTTCGCTATGTCCATGGAGCCACTGCTCCAGGCGCTTTGCCGGAACCCAGATATCCATGTCAGGGGGTGGAACACAAGGTCGCTGCATACGCAGATGATCTTCTCTTTTATCCCCAACCCTCGAAACACACAACCCTGCCTACTATCGGAATTCGAGCGCTTCGGCAGACTTTTGGGATTCAAACTAAACCTAGGAATACATTGCCTTGAACTCACTATTCCCATTTCAGTGGTGCTTCAGCAAAATAAAGTATCTTGGAATCTGGGTGACTAAGGACCCACAGAAAATCTACCAACACAACTTCATACCACTGCTGAAAACACTGCTGGCTGACCTGGACAGATGGGCATACCCATATGTGACGTGGCACGGGCAAATAGCGGTGATCAAAATTAATATCCTGCCTAGGGTTCTGTATCTTTTCCAGACCATCCCACTAGCTTTGCTGGCATCCTTTTTCTCTTTGCTGAAAACAGCGATCATTGAATATGTGTGGCGGGGGGAAATATCTTGGATACACCACAATCTACTGTGCCTGCCTTGACACAGGGGAGACCAGACATTGCCTGACTTTTAACTTTATTATCAGGTCACAGTTCTGCAATGAATCCAAGAATGGCACGCAGGCAGCCCGCAAAAACAATGGGTAGCCTTGGATAGAGGGTGCATCAGCGCCTCCCTGGAGTCAGTGGTATGGCTGGGGGGCCCTGGTGAACTGGAATAAAGGAACGGTGGGGAACCGATGTCACAAGCAATGTGAACCTGGAAGTCAATTCAGAACAGCCGCATGACTTGCCTACACCCAGGACCCTACTAGCGGTGATGTACAATAGCGAACTGGGGGAAGGGCTTCCCTTGAGGGCTTGGTCCTTCCTGGGGGACGGGGAATATATTCCTATCCATAAGGCCCTGTAAGATGGGGCACTGAGGAGTCTGGACTCACTGTTGGAGGGCAGACCACGAACACCCCAGGATTCCCTTCGATACATGTAACTGACTTATTAAAACTTGCTCCCAAATAGAGATCGGTTACATAGGGAACTCATCTGGTTTGAAGGCCTTTGCCTACAGGGCACTACACTTGAAAAAGACAAGTCATTCTCAAAATCACAGTGGGACAAGATGTTACTGTGGCAGCATAAGAGCTCCATCAGTTCTCAATATCAAGAGATGAACTATAAACTCATATCTCTCTGGTATAAAATGCTGACCCTACTCAACAGAATTTTCCCCATACGGTTCCATATACAAGGTTAAAAGTTACTGATTACGACTACAGTGATCGATAATACAATGTGCAAGATTGTGATTTATGGTATAAGGACTACACATGCTTCTAATGTTAAACAATTATGTTGAGTGGCCTGTGTGCTACCTCTATCATACCTTTTGACTATTCTTGTCTGAACTTCTGAAAAAATCAATAAACACACATTTGCAAAAAACAAAAACTTATATGTACGTAATCACTAATAGTAGGTCGCAATGCTCTATGTAGCCGAAAAAGCAGGACTAACTCAGCACCAGCACTGGTAAAGGAAGGGATTAGCCCAAAATCTTAATCATCAACTATAAAGGAATTTAATAAAAACTTTGAAAGCTGAAAGTTTGTCTTTGCGAGTGTGAAGAGGATAGTTGTGTATTTTGAGTTGAAAGTCGCATCAGAAGTAAATTAAAATTCAAAAGGAAACAAAGTATATGCCATAATTAGCTTGTGTCACCATGTGTGACCAATATGTCTCAATTTCACTGTTTATACTTGTAGCAGAACCAGCCTCGCCACTGGCATTGGAGAAGACTGATTGCCAGCCTCCTGCCCTGTGACTATGGACCTTCTCATCAGCCCATGCTAGACTTAAACCCCATGGCGATTTGACTGTGTTTGTGGGATGTGGGTGCTGTTTGGATATATTGAGCGCTCAGATCCAAGCCATCTGGGGTTAGGTTGAATGTGAGGGTTCTGTTCAGTATCATAGGAATTATGTATTTTTTTTTTTTGTAAATATGATTTTTATTTGTTTTGCAAATAAAGGAAATAGGGAACATTGATACTCGCAGGTATCTATTGGCATATGAACAAATGCACAACATGTGCAAATAACAATCATGGAAAATGCGCAGATGTGTTTCAGATAAACGAATCATAAAGAAAAGAAAAAGGGTGGCGACGGTTGGGTATCGTATCATAGGAAGGCATTTGTAGGGGGACGCAGGTCCCATTAATTGTACTTAGTGCTTATAGCCTTGGAACATAAAAGGAGAACAGAGAAAGGGAGGGGGAGGGGAAAGAAAATGCATTCAAGTAGACAGGCAGTGGTGACACGCAGGTCACCTTTTAAGACACAAGTAACATTTACGTGGTGGACTCGCAGGTCCTATGAAATAGAAACAGTGGGTGGTACTTTCACATGCTCTGTAGGGTGACAGTGTGGACACGCAGGTCCTGTTCCACCTAAGGGTAGGATTCGTGGCAGGAGGTGATGGTCACTGCTTGTGTTTCGTTGCCTTTTGCCGGTTTCGGCCTGGTGCCATTAGTTATTATGTATTATATGGTGGGCTTACCAGTCCCTCTGTCCTGTATATGTGCTTGTACCACTCTCCCGCTTTTTATGTAGTCGCCTGTTGCTTAGGCATTTACTCTTTGGACTCGCCGGTCCCAAAACTCCTTTTATATTAGTCCTATATTAGTTTTGTTGTGATGTGGTCGGGGTGTAGGGAAGAGGAGGGAGGAAAGAAAGTGGGGGGGGGGGAAGAGGTTTGGGGTGTACAGTACCAGTCACACTTGTCTGGATCGTCAGGTGCGGTCTCAGGGTCTAGTTGAGTGTTGGCGTCTGTCGCTGTGGGGAGATGTCTATTGTGGTGTCTGGTGCTAGGGCTGCTTCTCGTCCTTTGTTTGGGCCCGCTGTTGGATGGTGATATTGTCTGCCCCAGTCATTAATTTTGTCTGTGAACCCGGCTCCCGCCGTTGTCAGGATCCAATGTGTCCATGTGTCAAGGTATTTTTGTGTTCTGTCCGTAGATTTCATGTGTATGTCTTCCGTCTCCCTTAGGGCCTCCATTTGTGTGAGCCACTTGTCCGGTGTAGGTGCGTCCTTGCGTTTCCAGTGTTGTGGGATGAGCTGCTTTGCTACATTAAGTATCCTAATAGTGATTGATCGTTTGTATCTATTACTTGGTATGGTAGTGTGATGGAGGAGCATTGCAGCGGGGTCAAAGGGGGGTGGCTGGTCCGTGAATATCTTTAGCATTGTATGTATCCCCCGCCAAAACGGTTGTATCTCTGCGCACTCCCACCAAATGTGTAAGAACGTCCCGAGTCCCACCCCGCATCTCCAACATTGTGCTGATTGGTCTGGGTATATTTCGTGTAGGGCAGCTGGGGTGCGGTACCAAAGCGTTAGTAGTTTATATGCTGTTTCTTGGTGTTTGCTGAACGCTGCGCAGTGGTGTGTTAATGAGCACATCTTTTCCCATTCCCCTTCGCTAAAGCTGCGGTTCAGTGCCGTTTCCCATTTTCCTTTGAACCTGGGCAACTCCGTTGGGATTTGTATCTGTAGTGAGTTGTATAAGGTGGATACACCGTGGGGGAGGGGTTCTGGGTCGAGACACAATTGTTCGAACCACGTGGGGGCGCGCCCCAGTGCTTGCCCCTGGGGGAGGGTCTTAAGGTAGCTCTTCAGCTGGGCGTATTTGTATTTCTGTGCAAAGGTGGTAGTGTTTTCGCCTACAATTTCTGTAAGGGTCCTCGGGCCTGTCTGAGTGTATATGTGATGTAACCTGGGTAGGGGGTCTGGGATGAGGTCTCTGAAGGCCAGGGAGTCGAGTCCTGGTGGAAACTCCGTATTATGTGTCAGGGGGGTCAGGGGGGTCAGCGGTGATGGGTATGGGGCGAGGCTGCCTCGGGCTGCCATCCTGTGCCACACCTGTAGGGTGGATTTCACGTATATGGGTATGTTTCCTCGCTTCCTTGGTGGTAACCATGGGGCGAGCGCTATGGGGATCCCTAGTTCTGCCTCTTCCACCGACTTCCACAGTTTATGTACGTTGTCTTTCGACCATTCCGCTATTCGCAGGAGGTGACAGGCGACGTAATAGAGGTGGAAATCTGGTAGTGCCATACCCCCCTTGTCTTTCGGTTGTGTGAGTTGTGAAAATTTGAGCCTGGGTCTCCTCCCGTTCCACACATATCCCCCTAGTACCTTGCGGAGAGAACTGAAGTAAGTTTGGGGAATACATATGGGCATTGCTTGCATCAGATATAGAAGCCGAGGGAGAAAATTCATTTTGACTACTTGGACTCGTCCAAGCCAGGAGATGTGGGGATACGACCAATCCCCTGTGTCCCTCCTGAACGAGGCCAACATCGGTGTGAAGTTTTCTGTAAATAGGCTTGTGCTGTGTTTAGTGAGCCAAATGCCCAGGTATCTAACTTTGGTGTCTGCCCATTGGAACGGGTGGCTTTGGCGGAGTATGCCCTCCCTATGCCGGGGCACTGAGATGTTAAGTATGTATGACTTTTTGAAGTTTATTTTCATGTTGGATAGGATGCCGTAGTCTCTGAAGGCTTTGATTATGTTCGGGAGTGAGATTTCGGGATTTGTGACAAAGAATAGCAGGTCGTCGGCATAAGCCGCGACCTTATGGTGTGTGCCGCCCAATTCCACCCCCTGGATGTCTGGATTGTGCCTCACCGCGTGGAGAAACGGCTCTAGGGCCAGGACGAAGAGCAGCGGCGACAGGGGACACCCCTGGCGGGTGCCGTTGTGTATGGTGAAAGCCTTTGTGGGTGCGCCATTGACAATGACTTGTGCCCTAGGTTGCCTATACAGGGCCTCTATCCATCCCCTCATGTGCGTCCCCAAACCCAGGTGTATAAGGGCCTGAAACAGGTATGGCCATCCGATCCTGTCGAAGGCCTTCTCCGCGTCCGTGGAGAGCAGGAGAAGGCCTCCGTGCCTGGCCGTTCCCCCGTGTACTATCGATAGTGCCCTTATAGTGTTGTCCCTGGCCTCGCGACCCGTTACGAACCCCACCTGGTCTGGGTGGACCAGGGTGGGGATGTGCTGTTGTAGGCGAGTTGCCAGTATCTTCGCCATCAATTTCAGGTCGCAGTTTATGAGGGAAATTGGTCTGTAGTTGCCGCAATACTCTCCGTCTCTGCCCTCCTTGGGTATGATTGTGATGTGCGCCATGAGGGATTGTGTGGGCCAGTGGTGTCCCTCTCTGATCGCATTAAAAGAGGCCACCATCGGAGTGTATAGGGTCTCTGCGAAGCATTTATAGTAGCGCAGCGGGAGGCCATCTGGACCCGGGCTTTTGCCTGGTTTTGTCGCTTTGACTGCCCATGCCAGTTCTTCCGCGGTGATGGGTTCATCCAGCGCTTTTGCTGTGTCTCTTTCTATGCGCGTGTGTGTATGTGTCTGCAGGAATTCTTGTATTTTGTGTATGAGGTTGGTTTGTGTCTGCGGGTCTTGCGGCCCTGGGAGGTTATACAGCTCGGAGTAATATGAGTGTATCACCTCCTGAACCTTGTCGGGGAGGCGGTGTAGAGTGCCTGTTTTGTCCCGTATCTTTTCGATATATAGGTGTTGTCTACGCTTGGTGAGCATTCGCGCAAGGAGTTTTCCGCTCTTGTTGCCATGGATAGTGAAAAATGCGTTGTGCCGCGCTGCTTCCCTGTGGTGTCTAGCGTGTAGGAGTGTGGCTAGTTCCCTCCTTAGCTGGAGCAGCTTTACCTGGTTGTCTAGGTGTCCGTCCCTTTTGTTGGATTCGTCTAGCGCGTGTATGTCTTGTATGAGTGTTGTAATTTGTGCCTCTCGTTGTCTTTTCAGTCTTGCCCCTTTCTGTATGAGGTGACCTCTAACCACACATTTGTGTGCCTCCCAGGTAAGTGTGTGTGAGGTCTGGGCTGGGGTATTTTCTGTAAAGTAGTCACCCAATAGTTTACTAGTTTCCGTTACGATTTCTGGGAGCGACAGCATATATTCGTTTAGTCTCCATTTGGAGACCTTGGGCCTATGTAGTGGGGACGTTAGAGTGAGAGTGACCGGCGCGTGGTCTGACCACGTTGCCGTACCGTGTTCCACTGCCCTCACCAGGGCCAGGTCATAGTGGGACATGAAGAAGTAATCCAGTCGTGTGTATGTGTTATGTGGGTAGGACAGGAACGTATAGTCCCGTTCGTCTGGGTGGTGTGCCCTCCAGCAGTCCAGGAGGTGTAGACGTCGAAAAAGGGTCTTGATGTGAGTCAGGTGTTGGGGTGGGACTCTCGAGGTCCCTGAGGACGAGTCCCATTTTGGGTCCATGGTCAGGTTGAAGTCCCCTCCCAGGATTAGTATGCCCTCTGCGAACGATCGAAGTAAACGTAGAGTGCGGGTGAAAAACCTGTAGTGTCTCTGGTTGGGGGCATATATATTAGCGAAAGTATAGGTGGTGTCCGCTATCGTGCCCTTCAGGAATAGAAATCTCCCCTCGGGGTCAGTCTCAGTCGCTGTTTCTGTGAACGGTACGTGTTTGTGTATTAGTATGGCCACTCCTCGCGATTTTCCCGCATTATAGTCACTGTAGTAGCCCTTAGTATAGTGATGGTCAGTCATTTTGGGTCTAGATCCGTCTCGAAAGTGCGTTTCCTGTATATATACAATAGACGCTCCAGTGCTATGGAAGTTTCTCAGGGCATGCGAGCGTCTTTCAGGTTTATTTAGTCCTTTAGCGTTGATTGTGGTGATATGAAGATATGCCGGTCGCAGTGACATGGTCGGGGTTGGGGGGAGTTGGGGGGGGAGGGTCAATCAGCGTGGGAAGGTGGGGGAGGGGAACCAGCGCCTGTAAGAGCGCTGTCTAGGTACGAGCGTCTGGGTAGGGATAAGCGCCTGTCCACCAGGGATAAGGGGCAATTACCCACCCAGTACCTTGCGCCCTATCCTAAGGGGGGGTCGAAGGAAGTTGCGAACCACTAGGTAGCGCGCGTGAGGGTGTGGTCTACCGAATCGTAGGCAAGTCCTTTTATGAACTCCTCCGACGTCGTCCCCTATTGGCTCTGTTTGCATGTGTGTCAACTTTATGTTCCTCGCCTTGTGAGGTGTTGGCCCTAGGGCCTTCTAGTTATGGTGTGTGTCAGGTTTAAATTTGAGCGTACGAATATATGAAAAGTCAGAGGGGGAAACCTTATGCATATGAAAAATGTAAAATATAAAATGAGAAACATAGAAAACAGTTATAACAGTTATAACATTCCAGTCATGGAGCTTCATGTTGGGTGCACCCCCGCCACCTGGTCCCTGTGCTCATGCACCCGTCCTGCCCGCATTTCCATCCGGCCGCCCCTCCTCCATGCATGGGCAGGATAGGTCTTTCTCTTGGGTTCTGTCTCTCCCCCCTCCACTCCTTGGGGGGGCCCGGGCCCCCAGCAGGCCAGGCCGGCGCCGGCTCCCCCCACACGCTCACCTAAGTGGGTCGTCACGCGTGGGTCAGGAGGTCGGCCCCGGCCCGGCCCGGTCGGGGCACAGGCCCCACATTCCCTCTCTCCGGGCATGGGTCCCCCAGCAATATACAATACTAGCAAGCTTTGGGCTCCGCCCCCAACCCCCCATCCCTTCTCAGAGGCACCCGGGTCTCAGTACAGTGCCCAGTATTCCCCTCAGGTCAAACATTTTTTTTTTTTTTTTTCAAAAGGACTCAGCTAGCTTGTGTGGCCCAGTGAGGCCTCCCCGTATCACGCTATAGTTCTAGGTCTAGGGGGGGCTAAAGTCCCTTTTAAAACAGAGCAACTGGGCTTGGGGGGTTGTGATACTTGCGGGGAGCCGTCTGAGCGATGTTTCAGAGCTGCACGGCCGCTCGGTGCCCCATCATTGCTGTCACTGCTGAGGAAGTCCGTGAGGGTCACTCGGCTGGGCACTTGGGCTGTGGGGCGGCAGTCAACAACGCCTGTATGCGGAGTCATGTCCAGGCAGCACAAGACAGGTCCAGGTTTCTTACGCCTCTGGTTACATAGTTGCCCCCGACGGGCGTATCGTTTGCATGCGGGATCTTCGCTGTCTCTGTGGTTTTTGGGTCGGTGTCTGGGCGCTTGCGGCAAACGTGTAGAAGGCCAGGGGGTCTGGCCACTGCATATGGATCGGCGGGAGCTGCAGTTCTCGGGTTAACCCGGTTAGGTCATCTTCTCCCTTGACTAGGAAGGGGCCTGTCGGTGTGAAAACGTGCAGGCCTGTTGGGAAGGTCCACCGGTACCTTAGTTTGTTAGATTGCAGGATTCTCGTCAGCGGGCGCATCGCCCGGCGATAGGCCAGCGTGGCCGGGGACAGGTCCGGATAGAGTTGGACCTCTGCTCCGTTTATGAGGACGTGGTCAGTCTCCCGTGCTCTCCGCAATATGTCCTCCTTAAGTTGAAAGCTGGCCAAGCAACAGATGATGTCCCTGGGGGGGTCTTCCGGGGCCCCTTTAGGGCGCAGTGCGCGATGTGCTCTGACAAAGTCAATTTTAGTGGACTCAGGCCTGCTCAGCAGTTTGTTGAAGAGGTCTGTGAGTGTCTCTTTCACAGGTTCAGTGTTGGCAGTATGTTCAGGAATACCTCTTACTCTGATATTTTGTCTTCTGCCTCTGTTGTCCAAGTCCTCTATATGGTATGCCATCTGTCTGAGTTGTGCAGATTGCTTAAATATGGCGTCGGTAGTTGTGGATTGTACCGCGTGTGCGTGATCATTATCTGCTTCCAGCTGGGAGACTCTGTGGTTGAGGCCCTGCAGGTCCTCCCTCATGGCGTGCAGTTCTGTTGTAATTGATTTCTGCAGGGCTGCATTAGCTTCCTTAAGATCTGCTTTGGTGGGTAGGTTGCTGAGTACCCTCACCCAATCCAGGGGGGGCTCTGCCGTGCCAGCGGCATCCAGTTCGTCTCTCCCGGGCTGCGACAGCATGTTGTCCGTGGCCAGGGACTCATTTGAGGCCTGGGATGCGAGGTCGGCCGGGGTGATCAGGTATTGCCTCATCGAGGGTGCCGGGGACCCCCTAGGGGTGTCCGCGGACTTCACTGCGTGCGTGGCTCTGTGTGATTTCCCCATCGTGCGGTCCTGACACACGGCTCGGCGAGGAAAAGTGCAGAGCCGGCGGGGAGCTCCCTCACTAAGCCGCCATCATGTTCGGCGTCCAAGCCACGCCCCCGGAATTATGTATTTTTGTGTACCTGGAGATGGTTGGCTTACCACACCCAGTTAAGCCAATTATCTCCAGGATAGAGGACTCTGTGGAACTGGTTTTGTCTGGAAAGCCATGCTTCAGTGGTCACAAAGGACTTCGACCTAACTTATAAACCAATGGAAGGAATTGTATGATTTTTGACTATGTTTGTATTTGGAGTATGCTGATTCTGAAAATGTTAATTATGTGAATATAATGTATAGCTTTGGAGTTATGAATATTGTGCAAAACTGTGTATTTTCCTGCCTGTGATAATTACGTTAGCCCATTGTGTTCAGTAATTATATCACAGGCAGAGGGGAGGATTTTGTGTGGGAGTGTCTGATTGTATTGTATGTATTGATTGGTTGTACTTCAAAACCCTATGTTTGTAGAATGGGCATAAAAGCAGAGTGTTTGAATAAAAGTTCAGTTCTACTTCACCCTCAAATTGAAGCGCCGTCTCTTATTGGGGGAATCTGCTACAAGGGATTGCTATGCTAGGCATACTCACTATAATCACTCCTAAGCTCTTTTAAGAGCTTGTTCCTGCCCTGCTCTCTGGAGGAGTCTACTGTGGTTATCGTGTCTGCTGGAGTGCTGGAAACCCTTAGGAAGCACTAGGAGCATCCTTCAACGGAGGTACCCAGTCGGGGTGCCCGTCGATCCGTTACAATACTTTTATATCAGAGATACCCTTTCCTAGGCTTTATTTAGCATTGCCTCTTTAAGGAAATAGATCTCATAAAATGACTTAAACAATGTATTACGTTTCAGTTGCTAGGGGTTGTAATGTTTATGTTATACACATAAATCCAACAAACCCATCTTACAACTTCAAACTAGATATTACTTAACCAAGCAATTTGTGCCTGTAGCACAAATGTCTTAATGTCTATAACGCTTTTAAGCGAATGTTAAAAATCCTGAGTGTAATCAGCTTACTAAACTGGTAAACGAGCTTGAATACACTGTTTGTTATTGAGACACTATAGTCACCAAAACAACCTTAGCTGAAATCAGCCTGTTCAATTATCTGCAATTTAGTCTTGCAGTCAGATAATCCTCCAATGTTGCGCTCCCTGCTCGCCTCCCTGTCAGCTCAATAATGTCCTTTGAAAAAAAATTACCCAGTCTCTTTCCCCACACCCTCCCTCCTCTCGTTGGCTGAGATTGCGTGAATGCGCTCTGAGCCAGCGAAAAGGTTGAATCACAGGCTTCGCTAAGAGAAGCCTGTGATTGGACCCCATGAGACACTTGGGTAATATTGGGTGGAGGAATGGAAGGAGGCATAGATGAGTGCCTGGATTTCAGGAAGGTAAAAACCTTTTTTGGAGGTTTACTGCAAAATGTAGGATGGGGCCTCAGTAGTAGTGTCCTATATGGAATTTTACAATTAAAAAATGCGTCTCACCCCAAAAGGGTTGTAGTGACTCTTTAATGAAACTGCAAAGTTTATTTGGTACCACAATTCTAATTTCTTCTTTGGGTTAGTAGCAGAGTGTCTAACCCAATTTTTGACCATGCTACATATATCTGTATTACCATTTGCTAAATGTAGAATTCTAGATAAATATGTGCTCTTATGGTCTATAGACCCTATACACCGTTTACTAATTTATTTCCATTATTTTTCAAAGTGAGAAGATTTGCATTAATGTTACCTGTCTAGAAGTAGAACAACTGAAATGCCCTGCTGATTGTGTGGCTAGCAAGCCCCATACACCACCTGGAGAATGCTGTCCCACCATACCTAGCTTCTGTACCTGTGATTTTGAGAAGTGAAACCATACATGTCCAATGAGAAAAAGGAAAGTACTGATACAACCAACAAATGGAGTCCCGGGAAAGTGTTGTGACAAGTTCTTGTGTTTACATTGAAAAGCCATGATTTTCCAATTATTATTTTTTTTTTTTATGATTTTGCTGTTTTACAATAATAGATATCTAAAAACAGATAGTGATATTTGCCACTCATTGAATTATTCACCTCTTCGTTCGTTATTTTTGTCAAATTTTTTTAACTTTTATAAAGTATCACTGCATCTAATATAAAAACTCTAAACAAATTCTGTGTAATAACATTAAACTGAGGCAGAAGCGTATCAGTCAATCTGAAAAAGACATGACTAATGAAAATAAAGTTATGTGTGTTGTAAAAGAGATATTTAATAATCCTAAAATATGCTGTGAATCCTGTTATTTTTGTTCAAAATTCTATTTGATTTATATATTACATATATACATAAAATATGAAAAAATAAACCAACAATTAGGTTATCAAATTATACATGCTCTTCTTTCTAGAAATTTAAATTCTTCATAATGTAATAACAAAAAAAGAAAATTGTCTTGGGAGAAAAATATATAGCACCATTTGTTGTATTGTTAGAAAACCGTAACATAAAGTCCTAAGTTACTGAACCTGTATCTGAATTTGAAATGGGTAAAAACATAATTAAAAAGGGAATAGTCACATCTCTGTCATTTACTCAGTTTAATAAAATATTGAAAAATTACCTGACTTGTGTTAACCGTTTCTCAATGAGATGTTCTATTTTCTTTGAAATGTATATTAAAGATTTATCAAATGACATCATAATCCAGTTCAGACAAGGTAAAACAATGGCAAACATTGCAAATGAAAGAGAGAGAAACATAAACTGTATATCATTTATCATCTGCTCTCTATACTTATTATGTCTTGACTGCAAAGTGCAAAGATTGCTAACAAGCTGGCAAGGAGGCACTCAGTTGCACTCAGCTGCAGGATAAAGAGGTGTGGATTTTCTTCATTCCACTACTTTTTCTTTTATTTGATTGAAAAGGGGAAAAAAGTCCTTCTTGGTTCCATAATAGAAATCAGATTTTTCCTTGGTTCAACAACATTTTCACATACACATGCCTTTTAGAAAGAATTTTCCATTTTAAAAATGGAATCTGTTGACAACCTCTTTAGGTAGCGAATTCCCATCTTTATTGTTTTTACTGTAAAGAACCCTATCCTTTGCTGTAAGCAAAACTACCTTTCTTCCAGTCTCAATCTCAGCTTGACTTTGCACTTTGTCTAGTTTTGTACATCCTTCTATAAAAGTGATGCGTAAAAATTGCACTGCATAGTCAAGGTAGGTTCTTACCACTGATTTATCAATAGACACAATTATATTTTGATCACGTGAATCAATATCCCTCTTTATGCTTGAAAGCACCTTACTAACAGACAGGTATTGCATACTGTTGCCTAGTGAGTTATCTATAATTGGTCCTAAGTCCTATTCTTTTAATGTTATCCCTAACTCAACTCCATTTAATGTGTAGGTAGCTTGTGGGGAGGGGCGGACTGACCACTTGGCACTTCGGTCTTGGAACGAGGGCCTGTGGCAGTCAGGGGCCCAGTTCCAGAAGAAGTTATGGGCCAGTTGGGGAGATAACCAGATCTCTTAAAATGGCCCTGCATCAGCGGACCTACGGCTGGTGCTGGTGGTGTGGGACTTGCATGCTTTGGGGGCCCATCAGGTGGCCCATGCACTTAGGTCAACCCAATGGTACAGCTGCCCTTTAAGAGCATTATCAGGCCCCTGTAGTATCAGCCGGCTGGGAGGAAATGACAACCAATCACTCCTCCCAGCTTCATAAGAGAGCACTGAGTGGGAGGGGGGAGGTGGATTTGTGTGTGTGTGTGTGTTTGTGTGTGTGAATGTCAGTATGTGCATCTGGGTCTATGTGCATCTTTGTGTCAGAGTGTGCATCTGTGTGCGTGTGTGCATGTGTGTGCATCTGTGTGTCAGGGTGTGCATCTGTGTTTGTGTATATGTCAATGAGTGTACCTGTGTGTATCTGTGTGTCAGGGTATGCATCTGTGTTTGTGTAAATGCCAATGAACGTATCTGTGTGTCAGGGTGTTTGCATGTTTTAGTGTGTATGTGCACTTTGTGTCAGGGTATGCATTTGTTTCTGTGTGTGTGCTTCTGAATGTCAGGTTGTACCAAGTATATCGCATCCACTGGACCAGCCCAGATCTATATTTCTCCTATAGTCTTTATTAGCGAAGGTGTGTCTAACCTTATAAAAAAGGTCAATTACAATAAAAAAGTTTTACTTAATTTCTGAAATCCTAATCTTTAAATAAATAAAACAGACAGGAAAGTAAAACCTCTGACCCATTACTAGACTAATACATATATTAAAAAAATAAAACAAAAAACGACTATCTCAAAAAATAAAAATTACCCTTTGGAGTACATATTTTGTTCCGGCAACTTTATCCTCTGACTCAGTCCATTTACTTATATTTATTATCTTCCCCATTTAAATATTTCATTTCATGAAATAAATAATATCTCGGAACTATGACCTAAAAATAGTTATGTCATTTGTTTCAGAGTCTAAAGGAAACATGGAATTTATTTTAAAAGTAAATCATTGTCAGAACAAATCTTCTTATCTGCCACAGTTTTATTGATCTTTTCATCCCACTTACCCCCTGTGTGTGTGACTTTTTCATCATAATTTTTTTGAAACAGGTGGTTACCTGACTAACTCTCTGAAAGATCCAATACTGTTTTTGTTTTATTTTTTCACACAATGAAAATTTGGTATATTTTGTTCATTATTTTTTCTTGGATGATATACGGACAGGATGCTACTAACGACACTACGTGTGAAACAACTTGTCTCAGTGGACCACTTGGTTGTTCTGGAAGAGTAGCAATCAATCCTTATTGTTCCTGTAGTCATTGTGCAAAGTCAATTTGGGAACCCTGCGGAGGAAAAAACTGGGAACTTGGGTACTGTGAGAAAGAGCAAAAATGTGCAAATATCACTGGAGAGGTTCTGGTTGAAATTCCAATGATTGGAATTTGCAAATGTAAGTACTCCAACATACGTATACATCAGGGATTAAAATGACAGTTACTAGTAAGTGCTAAGGAAAATAAAGGCACCATAATTTTGCTATTTACGAACAGTGGTGCCAGTTTTAAGTTTGCATATAAAGCCAGAAAGCCAGTTCAACTTACTAGTTGATTATTTAAGCTTGGTAGTGGTATTTCGTATAGTATATCTTATGGACCTAGAGTACCATCTACCATCACCATATTTTTATTCTACATGTTTCTCTAGTGAATATTTCCCCCCAATATTAACTTTGCAGGATAAAGATTTTAGCAGTAGTGGTCATAAAAAATTTACAGGAATCTTAGGTTTAGCTGAACATCAGGGGATATTAATTAACAAATATCACTAATGACAAGGTTAGCGATTATTGTTATAAACCAGGAGGTGCCCAAAAGGTAGATCTTCAGAGGTTGTACAACTACACCCCCCATGATGCTTTTCTAGCCTTTAAAATCATTTTTATTCTTTTATTTTTCATTCATTTAGAATGACAAAGCACCATGGGAGTTGTGATTTTAGTATCTGGGGATCTATCTCAACCTTGCTCTAAATTGTATTACACACTGGTCCAAAGTACTCACCGCTTTGCACACATGAAATCGCACTCGTATTTATCCTTTTATTTAAACAATTCATGGGGCACATGTGTGAAGAAGATGAAGATTAATAATCTAGAAGTTTAACCTAATAAATACATGAGACAGAAATAGAGGCGATACATGCGCAAAAAATACAGGTATGAGAATTGTTAAAAAAGGAACACTGTACCTGAAAGAGTTAAAAGAAAGCAAATGTAAAATCACATTGGAGATTGGTTATTATTATTACTTATATTTTGCAGAACTTTCGCGATGTAATCCAACTAAGCAAAAAAGATGATATAGTACAATTAGTAATTAGTATTTTACTCTTGCATTAAACAGATATGAGACATTATACCGCCTATAAAGAATTTTGGGAAGATGATGATGAACAATGTCCGGAGCAATCAGGATGTGAAATGCACACGGGTGTTTGTGACTGTATCACAAGAAGGACATGCTTTCCAGACTTTAGATACAGCTCTTATGAGACATGCAAACCTTATCAGGCTTATTTGATGGGTATACTAGAAAAATATGCTATGTATGATATTAAATATCAAATTTTTATGTGCTTTCTTGACTTCCTAGGGCAGAGGTAGGTAATCTTTTAGTAATGCTGTGCCAAAACAAAATCTTTAAGTGCCTCGGCGTGCTGGTCCTCATTTTTTAAAATTGAGGTGTGTATGTTGCCTTTAATCTGCTTGTGTTATTTCTGGGTGCTGCTGTTGATTTGTAGCGTATGTGTGCATCTGTGGAACGTTATATTGTATATGTTCATGAGTAGATTATGGTATCGTGTATGATACCTAGGAATGTGGGCTGCTTGTGGAATTGTGTGTGACAGGCTGCTCGTGGGGTTGTGTGCATATATGGGTTGTCAGTTGTGTTGTGTTTGTAGAGATTGTGTATGGGTATGTTTGGGCTGCTTGTATTATTTGTATGAGGGGTAAGCTTATTCTGCAGCTCTGTGTATATCTAGCAGTGTGGGTGACTTCCCTAGGGTCCAGTGGGGACCGGGCTGACCAGGTACTGGTAAAGGGCAGGAACTGTGATAGCTGCAAGCTGCTCTACTCCAGTGTGGATTCCCATTCACAAGGGCTTGGAGGAAGTGACCTGAGGTCACTTTCTCTATGTCCTGCAATATGTAAATTTAAGATTGTCCCTCACCATCGGTAATCACAACTTGGTTTGCACTAGCAAATATCCAAAGTCCCACTGGGACTACTGAAGGCTTGTTTGTTTCTAGCACCCTGAGTGCCATGCATGACAAACGTGTCACGTGTTGCTGACCCCTGTCCTAGGGTTTATTGAAATCAGATAACCATTTAAAAAAACAAAACAGATTTTTAATTTGATGTACATTGTAGCCTGATTGTTTTTTCATTTATTTTTTGTTTAATTAACCATCAATCGTAAATGGTTACATACTTATGAAAATGGACACTGAGTATTTGGATATTTAATAGCATTTCTGTTAAATGTGCTCTATTGCATACTTGCTTGAAAAAAACAAAAACAGAATGTGACCACATCCACTGCCAAGTGGATGTAATCACATTTAATGCAAAAGCTGGGGATGGTGGAGACAAAAACAAATGTCACGTCACCAGTATTAAATTCCATGGTCATTCAAGTCTAAAAATTAACATATAAAGATGAATAGTCAAATGGCAAAAAAAATATTAATCTTCATTGCAACTTCCTATATGCTAAGTGAACTTACTCCCATGACATTGGACATTGTGATTTAGGTAAGTACTTCCTATAGAGACAGTGGCGTACACACAATCCATGGGACTCCGGTGCGAAACTGATCCGTGGGCCCCCCATCCCTCCCCTCTCTCCCCCGATCCGTGACCCCCTCTCTCCTGCGATCCGTGCTCCCCAATTCCCCCTGACACATACATCCATACAGACACACACACAAACATACACACAGACACATACATCCCTCGACAGACACATAAATACAAACACACACACATATATACACACAGACACATACATACAGAGACAGAGAGACACACACACATACATAGACACAGACACATACATACGGGGCCTCATGGATTGTGTGTACATAGACACACACACATACAGAGACACACAAGTACATACAGAGACACACACATACAGAGAGACACAGACACACAGACACACATACAGACAGACACACATACAGACACACACACATACAGAGACACACACACATACATACAGAGACACACACACACATAGACACACACACATATAGAGACACAGACACACACACACACACACATACACACACACATATAGAGACACACACACACACACACATATACATAAAGAGACACAGACACACACATACAGAGACACACTCACAGAGAGAGACAGACATACACACATACAGAGACACAGACACACATACATACAGAGACACACACATACAGAGACACAGACACACATACATACAGAGACACAGACAAACACACATACAGAGACACACACACACATAGACACACACACACACAGAGACACACACACATACACATATAGAGACACAGACACACATACATACAGAGACACACACATACACAATAGAGACACACACATACACATACAGAGACACAGACACATACAGAGACACACATACGCAAAATGTTTCCTACCTTGTTACTTTCCCTGTGGTCCAGTGGAGGCTCAACCTGATGGGAGTGAGAGTTCCCACTCTGACTCTCTCCTCCTTCCTCCCACGCGGGCTGATAGCTGGGAGGAGTGACCGAGGAATCACTTCCTCCCAGCTCTGATGTAATCACAGGGGGCCCGGTTGCGCTCTTAAAGGGCCCAGTGCAGACCGGGCCCCCTCACAATCCATGTCCATCGAGTGGCCCTGACAGCATGGGCCACCCGATGGACCCCTCCATATGCAGCCCCGCGCGGGCCGGGGCGGCAAAATGTGGCAGCTGGCCTGGTACCCGGTCACAGGGGTCCACAGGGCGGCCGGGCCCCCTGGAGTGCCGGGCCCGGTTGCAGGGGTCACATCTGGTGTATAGAGAGGAATACATACATGTCCCCCCAATGTGATATAAGGAAGCATGTTAGTGTTCTCTTCAGCCAAGATGATAAGGAGGCCATTATTCAAAATATTTCTTCTTCTTACACATACAACTCATCTGTGATGCTTAAAAGCACATTGTGAGTGTGAAGACAGGAAATGTTGACTTTACCCATGACTCTAGGACACTTCAATAGCCATATTATACTCAAATGTTTTAGATAAGTGCACCAAATTAAACCAGTCAACAATTTTACACACCAATTTTCAAACCCAGACTACTATCAATTCAATTAGAAATAGACAGTATTCGACTCTGGCCGTGCATGCACATTCGGCTCCACTCAAAAGCTGACGTCGGAGGGGGAGGAGAGGTCACCAGCGTTGAGGGAGCCCAGCGCTGGATAAAGGTAAGTGGCTGAAGGGGTTTTAACCCCTTTGGCCAAGCAGGAGGGTGGCCATGAGGGTGGTAGACCCTAAGGAATATATAGTGTCAGGAAAACGAGTTTGTTTTCCTTACACTATAGAGATCCTTGAATATCAAATTCAAAATTTAGTTGCAACGTTTGTATCTAGTTTATCCTAAATAATCACATGATATAATAATATTGCCGATGTTGGAATCTTTAAAATGATTAGCAACTTGGAGTTTCTTCAGCACCTAAAATCAGTTTAAAAAAATGAGTGTATGTAAATTGATATTGTTTTAATTTTTACAATCTGTAGTAAAAGATTTGACTGCAATTACCTCTTGACAATCATTCAGTGATTCAGGGAGGAGGCAATCATCTTTCAATTGTATCACAATTTTCACAATTACTTATGAGAAATACTAAATACTAAAGAGAACATGTGATGTCAGTCGCATGCTCCCAACAGTCTCAGAACTGAGGGTCCTGTCTTGCTCTTCTGCATTGGTTCCTCATGTCCCATCTGGGTTTTTGTTACCTGCAAAGTTCAGTTTATAATCCATAGTGAGCAACCATGTCTAAATTGTTTGAGGGGTGGGGATGTGAAAGGGAATTTGAGAGTTATGTGCCTATAGCCGACATAAATATATATCTGTCCTGGCAAGTGCGTTGAGCATTTCCAATAATGATTGCTACTTAACTGGCTAAAAAGTGCATCCTACAATGGAATTTTCCAATGTAATATGTATCTGATTGAGGGGTGGTTCCAGTTTATGACTGCTGGATGCAATTTGGAGTGGTCTTGCTCAAAACAGAGGCTTGTGCACTTTGCAAACTACCTCTAATTTATTTTTCCTCTAAAATGCGATGAATTGTCATTGAAATGAATGAAACTGAAATTATAAATATATTTCTGAATATATGCAAATTCAAAGTAAACCCTTAACGATTAAAGTTGATTGAAGCTTGGACAACTTGCAACAGGAAAACCTAGTTATAAAATGAAACTAATTCCAATTCTTTTTCCTAAAGATTATTATTATGCTGAAGGTTATACTTACGAACATCCCAAGCCTGTCTGCTATAGCCAAGGATGTGACATTATAGATGACAAGTGTATATGTGAAACAGAAGGACCATGCGGACGTAAATATGAATTTGAAAATCGAAACAAATGCAATACAGCACTAGGTAAGATTATATGACATGATTATAATAATGTAGACAATATTTATCCAGCTGGTGTAGTAATTATTGCTGCTTTAGGCAAAAATCAAGTTTGTTGTTTGTGGTTTTTCCCATACCTCTTTCTACGAGTTCTCTATTGCCCTCTCTAAAAACCTCTCTTTCAACCAACTTAACTAATACTAAGTAAAAAAAATACTTAGTATTAGGAAATAAAGGAGGTTAAAATCTCCTTCTGCCCTTACTCGCTGAGAGAAGTTGCATGTCTTTTAAACAGTGAGCAGTCAGTTGCTCACTGTTGTAAAAAAGGTCACCCCCAAAATCCAGTAAAGGAGGACCTGGCACAGGTGGGGCGCTATTAAAATAATTAACAGGGAATACATAGTGTACCCCTCCAGCCGCCACCCATGCTCCATGAATGGGGGGCTATTAAACTTAAGAGGGGACCTAGTGTCCACCCCCAGCCTCCACCCACAAGTGGTGTGTGGAGGCCCTAAATGATAATGGAGGTCCCCCATAGTCCCCATGGATAAGTACCAGTGGGGGCCCTAAGTGATAAGGGGGAAGCCTGCTGTCTCCCCAGTCCCCACCCATTAGTGGTGGGTGGGGGGCTTAAATATGAGGTTTAGCAGAAAATGGCTTATCTGGAGCTGATAAACTATTGATAAACATGATTACTTCTAATTAAATCAAGACATATATTAAGACTGCCTCTTTTCCATACACCTTCTCAGGTCAGTGAATATTGAGGTAGAGAACAAAGAGCTGTTATAGAATGTATATAATCTATCTCTAATACACTCATCTATATGGGTTTAAACATACTTCCTCAAAAAGTATCAGAGTTTACTCTACACTGATCAACTGCTCTTCTCCCAACTGTTTTGAAACCTTACCACTAGGGGTAGCACATATATAAACCCTCTGCTTGCAACAATAGAGACACATTAACAAGACAAGCTAAAAGTGTATAAAGTGCTAACACACTAATTGCGCCTAACAGCTCTTTCTCTTTTTGAACTCTTCCTCATTCAATTTTCACTGATCTCTTACTATTTTCTCTTTTTGCTTTAATATATTGCAAGTGGTCAAGTGTTAGCAATGACCATAGAGCAGAACTGAATTTCCATATTTGTTTGCTGAGATTGGCTGATTACACTCAGGATGTTGTGCTTGCTACAGACACAGATTGCTTGGTTAAATAATATCTAGTTTGAAGTTATAAGATAGATTTATTAAATGTAACAACTGAAATTTAATTCACTGTTTGTTAAACAGGCACCATAGTCACCAAAACAACTTTAGCTTAAAGGGACTCTCCAGTACCAGAAAAACAAACGGGGGGTAGGGTGGGGGGAGACCCAATGCGCATGCGTGGCAATGCCGCGCACGCGCCTTAGACCTCCCCATAGGAAAGCATTGAAAAATGCTTTCAATGCTTTCCTATGGGGATTTCAGCGATGCTGGAGGTCCTCACATAGCGTGAATTGCCCTCTAGTGGCTGTCTAGAAGACAGCCACTAGAAGAGGAGTTAACCCTGCAAGGTAAATATTGCAGTTTATGAAAACTGCAATAATTACACTTGAAGGGTTAAGGGTAGTGGGAGTTGGCACACAGACCACTCCAATGGGCAGAAGTGGTCTGAGTGCCTGGAGTGTCCCTTTAATGAATCAGTTTTTGTGTAAAGTCACTGTTAAATTTTCTGCCATTTACGAGTTTAATCACTTTTGTTTTTATGTAGCTCTAGACACACCTCCCCTGACTGTGACTCACACAGCCTTCAAAAAATGGTTTAATTTTCAATCAGATGCTACTAACTTTAGAAGTGTTTATTTCCTACTCTGTAAATTAAATCAACAGAATGTGTCCCACCCCAAAAGTGTTGGGGTAACTCTTTTATGAAACCGTAAAGTTTATTTTGTAGCACAGCTACACAGCTTCTTAACAGAAAGTCAGCTACTATTATTATTTTTTTTATTGTGCTACATATATCTGTATGACAATGTAAAATGTTAGCTGTAGGATTTTAGGTAAATCTGTGTTCTTATGGTCTAAATATCCCCATACATAGTTTACTAATTTATTTCCATTTTTTACAAGTTGAGAAGATTTGTAGCAATGTTACCTGTCCGGAAGTAGAACAACTGAAATGCCCTGCTGACTCTGTGGCTAGCAAGCCCCATACACCCCCTGGAGAATGCTGTCCCACCATACCTAGCTTCTGCACCTGTAATTTCAAAAAGTGCAACAATACGTGTCCAAGGAGAAAAAGGAAAATAATGATACAACCAACAAATGGAGTCCCGGGAAACTGCTGTGACAAGTTCTTGTGTTTACATTGAAAATCAATATTCTTCCAATCATTTTTTTAAATATTTTTTTTGTTTTACAATAATTGTTATCTAAAAAACAGATAATTGCCTCTCATTTTAGTGTCTCTTTATTCATTCTTTTCTCTAACTCTTTTATAATATAAATCCATCTACTATCAAAATTCTAAACAAATTCTGAGTAAAAACATTAAACTGATGCAGAAGCGTATCAGTCAATCTGAAAAAGCAATAACAAATCAAATTAAATGTATTTGAGGTGTAAACGAGATTTCGGATAATCCTAAAATATACTGTAAATCCTGCAAGTTTTGTTTTTTTTATTCAAAATTCTATTTGATATTAGACTGGAACTTCATAAATATGGAAAAATAAACCAACAACTGGGTTAACACATTATACATGCCATTCTTTCTAGGGATTAAACTATTTGTAACGTATCAATGAAAGAAAATTGTCAGGGGAGAAAAATTTGTAAAATCATTTGTAATATTTTTAGGATAAATTTACATGAAATTCTAAGTTTCTGAATCTGTGTCTGAAATGGTTAAAAACAATAAAAAAAAAAGGGAATTGTCACATCTCTGTAATTTACTCAGTTTAATAAACAATTGAAAATCACCTAGAACTTGTGTTAACCTTTTTTCCATGAGATGCCCTATTTTCTTTAAAATGTATATTAAAGGGACACTATGGTCACCAGAACTCCAGCTTAATGTAGTTGTTCTGGTGTCTATATTCAGTCCCTGCAGGCATTTTATATGTAAACACAGCCTTTTCAGAAAAAAAGGCAATGCTTACATTGCTGCCTAGGGACACATCCAGTGGCAGTTACTCAGATGGCTACTAGAGGTGCTTTCGGGGTCAGTGCTGCACAACATACAACATTTATGTTCAGCGTCTCCACGCTCTGCATGGGGGCACTGAACTTTCCCTATAAGGAGATGCTGAGTGGAAAGCGCTGCATTTGACTCCCCAACCATACCTGCCTTCTTGATCATCAGATTTGACAATCTAAGCCAATCCAAAGCTTTCCTATGTTCAGACTGTAACATTACTGGTACCTAATGTCACTTAGACTTAAGCAGATGGGATGTTCAGATTCAGATCTAAGTTGGAATTGATTTGGACAAAAAAGGTACATATCTTCACCAATGGTGGAAGTGTCCATCGATTACACAATTATGGCTTACAGTATCGCAATTGACCTCTAGACTTTTACAAACAGACTTATCTATGAACCTCAGGACCTGTTTGCTACTCAAACCACACGGAGATATCACTAGAGCCCAAAACAAACTAGCCCCAAAATTGCATTAGCCACAAGAAGAGCAATAGCAGAACAATGGGGCAAAGCTAATATACCGTCGATGGAGGCTGTGGTACTCAGGTTTAAGGATGCAGTGAAGATGGACAAACTCTCAGCCCTGACACATGACACTACCAAACTTTTTTACAAAAGTTGGAACCTTTGGCTTTTGGGATATCCAGCCCATATCTAGGGTGATGAGTACACCCCACTCCCCAACACTCATTGTCCTCCCCTTTTTTAAACTCCTTTTGTCTCTTCCTCTTATCTCTATTCTCTTGCTCTCTCTTTATCTATACACCAAATTATTCTCTCTTAACCAAATTGTCACATTGCAACTGTCCAATCATGCTATCTTTTGTGTTCATTAGCTGCAAAATGCTTAACAGTTTGCGATCTTTATTAATGCAAGCATGCCTTATTTATCAATGTGCCCCAACGTAGAAGCGCATGACTGATCGCCCCATCCAACAACGCAAGGTGCTATATTCAAAGGAATAGCACCCCTATACAACAGTGCATTTGTCTGACCGGGTGATGTCCACCATAATTTTGATTTGCACTGTACTTTTGTATTTATTTCTATATTATTGTTTCACTTTTTACTTTCTGATTACATTGATCTCACAAGTTATCTTTCAATATTTTGTATAGTGCTACATCCTCATAATGTATCTCATTTCATACACAATATACATTGTCCAATGTAAAATACTCTGAAAAAATAAAAATCTCAACATTAAAGAATTTTAAAAAATACATATATATATATATATATAAAAAGCAGGAAAATAAAACCTTCTAACCACCAAAAACAGTCTAAAAAAAAACAAACAAAAACAAAAAAAACTAAACAGATAATTTCTAATTTCCCTTTGGGGTACATTTTTTGTTCAGACAACTGTATGCCCTGACTCACTCCTTTTACTCATTATATACATTATGTTTCACATTTAAATGTTTAATTTTGTTCCAGAAATAATATCTTGGAACCATTACCTGCAAATATTTTTTGTGATTTGTTTGAGTTTAGAGGGCATGGCATTTATTTCACTGTGAATCATTGTCAGAACAAATGCTTATCTGCCACAGTTTTATTGATCTTTTTATCCAGGTTTACCCCCTGTTTGTGTGTCTTTCATCGTAAGAGGTTACCCGATTAAGTCCCTGAAAGATATTATCAATATTGTTTTTGTGGTTTTGGTTTTTTTCACACAATGAAAATTTGATACAAGGACAGTATGCTACTAACAACACTACATGTTCAACAAGTTGTCTCAGTGGACCTCAGTGGTTGTTGTGGAAGAGAAGCAATCAATCCTTCTTGTTCCTGTAGACAATGTGCATTCCATGAAATAAAATAAATTACAATTGACATGAATTAAACTGAAACTATACTTTTTTTCCTCCCGGAATATATGGATCTTCAAATTAAATCCTTAGTGATTCCGTTTGATTGAGACTAGGCCACCTTGCGACAGGAAAATCTAGTAATACAATGTAATTAATTCAAATTCTTTTTCCTAAAGATTATCATAAAGATTTCGAACCTCCCAAGCCTGTCTGCTATAGCCAAGGATGTGACGTTATAGATGACAAGTGTATGTGTGAAAACGGACCGTGTGGACGTCACTGGCGGATCCAGGGGGGGCAACGGGGCAATTGCCCCCCCCGAGAAATCCGCCGGTCTCCCTCTCCCTCCCCTGTCAGCACATGCAGGTGCTAGCCCTGCAATGTGCCTGCAGACCGGAGGGGAGATCAGAGATCTCCCTCCCCGGTCCGCAGGCACTGTGCTGACAGCCGGCAGGGGAGGGAGAGGGAGGACCCGGGAGCTCAGCCTGCAGCTCCTCCGGGTCCTCCTCTCGTGAGATTTGAAGCGTTGCCGCGGTTACCACGGCAACGCTCCAAATCTCGCGAGAGTGAACTCTAGCCCGGGAGCGCGGGCTAGAGTTCACTGTAACCACTGGGACCACCAGGGAATCACCACTGGGACCACCAGGGAACGAAATATGTCCCCCCTCCTCCCCAGTAAAGGTAAGAAGGGAGGGGGGACATAGAATATTTATTTTTTTAATTTAAAGATATATATTATAAAAAAAAGCCCCCCCCCTACCCTTACACACACACACACACATAGCCCCCATACACATACTGCCCCCCCCCATACACACATACTGCCCCCCCATACACACATACTGCCCCCCCATGCACACATACTGCCCTCATACACACATACTGCCCCCCATACACACACACTGCCCCATACACTGCCGCCCCATACACACACATTGCCCACATTCACACACACTGCAACTGTTACACACACATACTGTCCCACACATACACTGCATCCCTGACATACACTGCCCCCCCTACTCACACACTACAACCTTCACACACACACACACACACACACTGCTCACACACTGCACCCCTTACACATTGCACCACTCACACACACCACTGCTCCTATGCCCTACTACCGCCCCATTTCCCAGCAGACCTCAGGTAAGTTGTCAAACTGTTCTTAAACGGTTTGACTACTTACTCTAGGAGGGGTCCCGGCACTATTGACACCATAACCACTACACTGAGCTGTAGTAGTTATTGTGTCTGGATTATTTCTTTAAATAATCTACAAGTGCCCCTCCCGAGATCAGGCTCTGGATCCGCCACTGGTGGACGTAAATATGAATTTGAAAATCGAAACAAGTGCAATAAAGCACTAGGTAAGATGATGTAATATGAACTTAATAATGTAGGCAATATTTACCTCACTGGTGTAATTTTTGCTGCTTTAGGCAAAAATCACGTTTTTAGCTCATGGTATTTCCCTTCCCTCTCGATTGCCCTCTCTAAACTAGACTTTCTTTCCTCTCTTTACACCAGGATCTCATCCTAAACTTTCCTTCCTCCATATTCTCAATTATGGCCTTAGTTTCTTCACTTTGGCAGATTTTTAATCAAATTTCATCTGGATTAAATGCCAACTGAACTCCATAAATAACTGGCTAATTCAAATAAAAAAGGTAATTGTTTTATGACTTTTTAATGACTAACATGACTAAATTAAAAAAGAAAAAAAAGCCTATAGGGGTTCACATATTAGTATAAGAGAGGGTTAATACCTTATGTTTAAAATTAAACAACGGAGGGTACATCCAAGTGTCATTCCAGCCCTCACCCATGGAGGATGAGTGAGATCTACCGTAGATGGAATCCTGTGCCAGGACCCCCATGTATTTAATAACTTCTGTAGTTTTGAATTAGAGTCAGCAGTTACTGGCTGCTCACTGTTAAGTAGACATTCCTCCAGCCGCGGTATTGCAGGTATGTGGTAATAAGTAGGGCCGGCCCAAGATATTGTGCTGCCTGGTTCCAAGTATGAAATGCTGCCTCCGCTCCAAAAAAAAACATATATGCTTCTGCAATGCAATGGTAGTGTCTCTATGTGGGTGTGCTGGGGATGAAGTATGTGCCTGTGTGTGTACTGGGGATGTAGTGTGCGTCTGTGTGTGCACTGGGGATGTAGTGTGTCTGTTTGTGTGCTGGGGATGTAGTATATGTCTGTGTGTGCTGGGGATGTAGTGTGTATGTTGGGGATGTAGCTTGTGTCTGTGTGTGCACTGCAGCCAATACACTTACCTATAAACTGTGTATGTGTATCAGTGTGTCTGTGCAACTGTGTGTGTGTCAGGATATGTATCAAAAATGCAGATACTGACACGGACACATACAGATGCACACACTGACACACATGCAGATACACAGGCATACAGATACACACACTTCACGCACAGATACATATTGCACACAATATACACAAACTACACACATACAGACACAAACTACAAACAGATACACACTCACAGATACACATATAACACACATACAGATACACACACACACTACACACAGATCACACACATACACACACACTACACACAGATACACATATTACACACATACAGACAGATACACACATACAGATACACACACTACACACACATTACACACATACAAACAGAAACACACAAACACACATTAAAAAAATTAAGCCACCCAGCACGTTATTACCTTCTGCTGGCTGTGGCTGGTGGGAGTTGGGGAAATACGCAACAGACTCGAAAACGAGGTGTGGAGTCCAAAATTAAAGGAATTAGTGCAGAACACAGCACAGATGCGGACAAAAGCGGGTCTGCCTGTGGAATGACTGCAGCTTGTTTGAAGACTTTATTTTTTTATGTTTCTTTATTTCTTGTTTTAAGCATTTTCTACAAGCTCTTTTTGTTTGGTTGGGGAATCTGTTCTAGAAAACG